TCGGTTCCTATGGGTCGCAGAGCAAAATCCTTGAAATCTGGACCCCCCCTAGACTCTTAACCCCCGCCTGGAAAACGATTCTTCATCATTTCCAACAAAAAATTTCAAAAAAAATTTTCAAAAAATTTTCAAAAAAAATTTTTCAAAAATTTTTTTAAAAATTTCCAAAAAATTTTCAAAAAAATTCAAACGATCATTGGAGAATTCATCTTGGTGAAATCTAGGGGGTCTCTTTGAAGGGTTAAGGGTCTTAATTTCCCACCCCTGAGACCTAATTACCGGCCCGGCAAAAATAATTATCTGTCGATTGACCCTAGCATTATATTTTTTGAGGGCCTACAGGGACTAGCATTTAGTTACCCGTAAAACGCGTTTTTCTAGGGAATTTCCTAGGGACATGTCGGGCAAAAATCCCTCCACCCGGGCCTTAATAAAAGAAAAAACACCCCAGCATTGCGTGTTGCGCCCTCCCTCTTTTGGGGTGCAGTACTACGATGCCGCTGGGGTCACTCAAACCCCCAGAACTGAGCCTCTACTTTAGTCAGTCCTCTTTGGCAAGAACAACTCAACGTACTTTCGTCTACTCTCGCTATATAGTCCGTGGAAGTTGCATGGGATTCCCCAAATTTCATCGAATGTCCCTATTACTCAAACGTTATGAGGGTCACGAATACATTTCCTCTACTGTCAAGACTTTAGAGACTCAACACCTTCTAATAAAATACTCATGAGTTTTGAAAATATACGTCTTGTACAGAAAAATAATATACTTCGATATGAATCAAACTATCGAGGAATTAATTCAAATTCAATTACCATGACAGGCCTCCGATGCTATGGCATTATGAATCGCAATAGGTAAACACGTAACACCACTTCTACTAATTAACTTTTCCCCGATTTCGAAGATTAACTCTTTAACACTGCTCACCATATTCACTAGATTGTTACGTTTCTTCGATAAAAAACAATTTGGAATTGTTGACACTGTTACACTGTTTTCACTCTGTCGTTTGAAAGTGACACCAAAACGGATCAGCACTTGTGAATTCAGTAATATTGACGACATTATTCTCTCAGGTAGATCAATAATCTCCAGTTGGCGATGCAGGTGAGATCGTAATAGGGTATTTTGATTACATCTGTATTCTGGAACCAAAAAAAGGAGATATTATTTCTGAATTTATAACAGTTTGTTACAGGAAATAGAATATTTGAAAAAGATAATAATATGTAATGGCCATAATTACGTAAATTATATAACTAATTTATTCAATTAACCTGAAGTAACTAACGCAGTAATTAACTAACTAATTTAGTAATCTAATTAACTTTAAGTAAATTATTAATTTGTAAAGTTTTACCTCTGATGCATACTATTGAATATTACTCAATTAATTGAATAGCAAATTAAGTTTCACCTTTAAGGAGTGCCTCATAGCGAATTCTCTCATCCATCGCGTGTTGATCAATCAGCAAGAGATATTTCTTGTTCTCGTATTCTGCTACTCCAGCAATAAATTCCTTATTCACTTGACGTAGTACCTGGAATAAAAAAATTTGATGAAGTATTGAATCTTTCTTCGGATGATCTGCACGCATTTATCATGTTTTTTAAATGATTTATTAAAATTACGAATGGATGGACATGCCATGAATTTAACTGTTCTCATATTTTTATCATCAATAATCTATTATATAATAATAATTATCAATTAACTGCCGTAATATTGATTACCTTCATATTTTTTAAAATTGCCTTTTGTAATGTTATCTCCATTCTTTTACTCTGAGAATTTTTACAGGGTCTCACACGAGAGTCTTGACGTCTTGCTAACTGAATCTGTTCAACTATAAAAAACATCATAGGCTGATGAATTATTTAAACATTTTCTGATACTGTATACTAAAATAACAGAAGTAATTAGACCATTAAATACAGCACTGAATGTACAATTCATTCTTTAAATTCAATAATTTTGGGTTGCATTAGAAATAAAAAAGAAATCTGAATCATTCGTCTGAAGTCCAACACTAATTGTTAAGCGTTGTAATTATAATTAAAAAATTGCAATTAGAATAAAAATTTGCAGACTCACTTTTTTGCTCCGCTCTATTCCACTTGAAACCCATCGTCTTCGATTGCTGAACAAGATGTCCCCGCGTCAAGCTCTGGGTTGCAGGAATGAGATGTCGAAGCTTCTGAGGTAAAAAATCGTAATACTTCTGTTGATTAAATTCACGATTGGGAGAGTCTTCGTAATTCCAATCGGACCACTCACCAAGATCATCCAAAGCATACGATATTTCCCAGGACTTCGTATCATTTCCTACTGTCGCAAACGCCTCTCCCTGATTCAATTGACAACTCAAATTGCGTTTGGCTTCTCCAGAATTCGTGACCAACAGAGATATTCCATCGCTCTTGCCTTCACCCCTATTATTAATCCATTCAACTCCATTTTCATTCAATCTTTCCCGTGAGCTCTGACGTCTCGTCTTAGACAACCGAGATTGTTTGCAGGTGAAGCTGAGCAGAGGCAAGCTAATATTTCGCAAGTCTGGTAGAAATTTCTTCTTAGAGACTGAAGTCTTAGCTTCAATCTTTCGTTTTTTAAGGGCCTTTGGATTCTTTGAAACCTGTCCTCTGATTGTTAAGGGAAAGATGTGTTGCAACATCTTTATGGAGATTGTCTTGAGCTGCAGAGAGACAGCCCTGATGACACGTAACTCCACAGTATCTAGAAAGCCCTCATCTTTTATCAAATTCTGAAGAAGACAATCAGGGGAATTGATGTACAGAAGCAACAGTATTTTTTCCCTCTTCAAATTGAAGGCGAGATTGTTTCTACTACCATAGGAGTTCACAGTATTTATATAATTAGTTGTTACGATTTCTACGATCTCTGGACAATTCACTTCTTCGTTATTCAGAAATATCTTCTGAATAATCTCTCTGGAGCAGTCGTAGCCGAAATATCCACTGATCACTCGATCCTTTATCTTTTCGTTCTGAAAGTACTGGATTCTCTCAGGATCCAGTAGATGATTGCAAATTATTTGGAGAGTGTTCATGGGTTCATTTTGCTTTTTGATTTGCACTTTTTCTGCTGTTCCATCTGTTTGAAGTGTGAAGAATACCTACAATTAAATCGAGAGCGTGAATACTAACTAAACTTGTCCACACATGTATACCCTTTCGGGCTTTTACATTTCCCACCCCCAGTTCCCCCTGTACCGCAATTACGCCGAGGGCCGAAGGGAAAACCTCATGGGAAAAAACCTTGGCCAGGTACAGTCGTCCCTTTCGAGACTACCGCTCGTACGATGAAAACCTGGGCAAGTTAGAGCGAATTCTATCTCTAAAAAACCCCTGGCATTTCCCCGACTGGGAATCGAACCCACGAATCTCATGTGCCAACCCCCTACGCTCTAACCGCTCGGCCACCGCACGTCGGTGAGAGCGTAAATATTTTCGGTATGATAAGAAAGAATACGAAGACGAACTCTTCTGCAGGGAAAAAAATTTCTTAAAGATATGAAAATGTGTTTTTTACCTCTTGAATCCATGAAATGACTTTAAATAATTGGATTCTATCAGAAAATTTGACCTTTACACGAAAAATGATTCCATTAGAAACAAATAGCTGAAGTTTTTTAGTGAAAATGAAAGAATAATTCGTGAAATTTCCAAAAAAAGACTGCAAACAATTTTCCGATCGATTCCTAATCGAAATCGTCCCCTCATCATGCTATTCTGGGAATCCTCATGTTTTCATTAAGAAAACGAAAAAATATCGATATCTAACTTAAGAATCAGTGACTCTAGACAAAAATATAATCTGAGGACTGATGTCGTCCGAATAAAAATGAATAGATAAACCAAAAATAAATACCTCAGGATTATTCAAAGCAAAAGATCCAACAATAGTTTTCAATTCAGAGATAGAAATATTCATGTCATGAATATCATCTCGTGAAAACCTGAGAATAATTATCGTCCCAGGTTTTGGCCATTGAGAAATCCTCCGGCATTCGAGGATTTCATTTGTCCTGATGATCTGTTGGAGCAAAAGAGCAAAGATAAAATGAAATGAAAATGAAATGACAATTGATCCATCAAAAATTAAAAAATGGTATTTACCTTCACAAAAGTGTCATTATCTTTGTGTCTACTCATGACGCCCACAGAAATAGACAATTCTCGAAGTTTAATGAGTTTTTTCTCGAACAATTGTAAACTCTGAGACGAAGTAAATTCTGAATTTTCCTCTTGAATCCCAAGATGTTGCAGATCATCGAAAGACAGTCCTTCTCCATCATCACACACAAAAAGACGAAGAGTCTTCTTGTGGAAGCGAATGCAAATTCTCGAAGCATTTTTCATCAGCGAGTTTGTAACCTGTCATCACCAGTAAATGTGAATATCAATGAAAATGTTTTTAAACAATTAAAGTGGAGATAATGCACTTACGAGGGGCTTGAGACACTCGCGAATAATGGTATTCAGTGATTTTGACATGTTTTATTAATCGTAATCCATTAATTTGAAGATTATTAACGTGAGAGTTCACGGAATGGAATTCAATCGCTAAAAAACGTGAACCCAGTCGAAAGGACAATCCACGGAATCCGTGAATCTGATTCAGCGACGAAATCCCGTAAAATAAATAGAATAAGTAGAATTTGTAAAGTGAATAATAAATAGTTCATTTATTTCTACATTAATTTCTAATTTCCCATCTTTAGGTGCCCCTGAAATCTATAGGAATCATGAATATAAAATAGCAATGTAAGTACATATATTACGAGAATATATGGTACATAAACAGTAAAAAATTAAGAAAATTCATATAATATATTTGAAAGGCTAGATTAATAGTTTTCGTTGTTTTGTTAATGGAAATGTTTCTTTAGGATGTCTTAGAACGATGAGAAACTAAAAATCGGGTGAGTGCTAATTGATCTTGCGATCTCCTATACACAATTCCGATTTTTTAATTCAAATTTGGAGGATTTGGTTCTAACATTTTAAGAATCAAAGACTCCAGCAGAAATATTACCGTTTTTGACTGAAGATCGATTTTCTGATCGTCATAATTGGGGAAAAAATCGATATTTATTCTTGTTCTGGATGATTCAGGATGAAATGGGAACATATGTTCATCGGAATCCTCTGGAATATCTTGAAGACATCCAGAGGATTTTAGAAATTGTTCTATAATATCCGAAAAGATTTCGCAATGTCCCAAGATGTGCTAAAATGAAGAAACAAGGGATTGAGAGCATTGGAAAATATTGTAATGGATTAGAAGAAGAAGGAAGAAGTTGCAAGAATTCCAGACGAGACATAATTGCATAATAATAACTAAAGTAAATATAAAAGTATTTTTTTACATTAAATCTTCGTTACCAAAAAACATCAATGAGCAATTTCATCTTGCACTCTTCTTCCTTTCTCTCTGCTCTCTACTCTCTTTCTTTTTTCAACAAAGAATTGATTTTTTTTTGCGAAAAATCTAACCTAAACTAGCGCATTCTCGCGAGGGGTCACCACAATACAGAGGTGAAATTGCTCCTCAGTTTATTCCGTTTATTCTGATGATTTTGATAAACTTCAAGAAAGTGTGTACGTGGAGAATTCCCATCTGCTCCTTTACGTAGTGCCAATGAAGATAGTCAACATTAACTCCTGGATTTGATTTAGATTCTTCAAGTTGATAGACTCCCGTTGACAAAAGTTGTGAAAGAAAATATACAGAATGAAAGTTCAGCTCCAAAAATTCAGTAAACGATCGTACACATGACAGTAATACCACAAAAGTGCTACCAAGACAATTCAAAAGTCCTCACCATCTATTCCGACAATATTCCTGCATCATTACAATTATCGAATCATTTAATAATGTAAAAATAATGATGAATCTTGGTTGTTCGTGTCACGAATTCTCATTACAATAACTCGTGCTATTTACTCGTTATTGTAACCTCAATAAAGAAATTATTTTGTACAATACTTGACATCATATCAAATAACACGTGTGATTTGATTAAAAAATGCTAAATGAAACTGAAGCATTACGAGTGAAAAAGTTTACTCTGGACTAAAGATGGAAAATACAAACTCATTGCACGATAATTGTACTGTTGCAAGTACATCATCTGATGATGTTTGTGGAGAGAGAAGTGGACTGCAGATTCTGGATGAGTTTAAAAAATTGTATGAAGGAAGAATAGAGAGTGTTGATTCAAATAATCCCAACGCATCAGACGTAAAGATGAAAATAATGGAGGAGTGGATTAATGATCTTCATGCTCAAAATGTGATGTTAGCTAAGACAGTTCAGGAACTTGAGGAGGCAGCTTACCAAAGGGTCAAGATATTGGAGGATAAATTAAAACACACATCCAATTTGATAACTGATAATATGGCTCTTGTCGAGGAGCCGAGGCATCACGAGCTAAATGATCTGACAGACAGGCTGGATTATTTGCAACAAGAGGATGAAATATTGAAACAAAAAATTAATAACTTCCAGAATGATATTACTGGATTGATAGAGCTGGTCAGACGTGGGTATTACGAGCGGCGATGGAGTCTTGATGGAATTAATCTGTATGAATTGAAAGCCGCTGACATTCCGATTCCTTTTGGGTAAATTTTGTTCAATTAATTTATCATTAAATCTATTAATTTTCTGTTAAAGGATATTTATATTATTATATCATTATTTCAGGAGTGATCGTCGGCCTCATGATGACAGACTTCCAGAAAATAAAGAGCTTACGGTAACATTGGATCTCGGAGTTTTAAACACTGGCAAAACCCCACAATTTATTTCCGTACATTATGCACCAGAATCTAAATTCCATCCTCTCAATGACAGCTACACAAACTCATCTCTCACATCCTAATCCCATTACTCTGTTTTTTTTTTTTAAATTATTTACCCTTTGTAATGGTTTATTTTTGTAATAAATTTGTTTCGTTGAATCAGGAACATGAAAAATTCAACTTTATTTTTAAGAATCAAGAGCCAATTTTCAATGAATGGAGTCAGAGTTCAACGGCTATCAGTAATCAATTAGAATTGATTAATTTGAAAGAAGAATTGCGAAATCAGAATGAACAAGTGGAACGATGGAAAGAGAAATGTATTTCTATCCAAAAAGTATGTTGAATCGTTACTCTTCATTTTTTCGTGTTACATTATAATTGTAATGATTTTTTGTTCTATTGCATTTATAGGAGTTCGCAGAGGGACGAGAATCTTTAACACTAGAAGTAGCACAGAAACACGATCAAATAATGAATTTGAAGGATAAAATAGAGAATATCACGGAGCAATGTGACCAGATAAGTAAACAGATGCATTTCAAAGACGAAATTATCAAGGAAATGCGTTCTCAATTGAAGCAACAAAAAGAGAGGAAGGTGAGACACTCTGAACGTGATTAAATTAATTTTTACATTCCTTTGTGTCTTACAGTTGATCACACACCACTCTCCAACTTATATTGATCATAAATCATGCCGAATGTGGTCACAGGAATTTCCTTCCTCTCAAGATGCACATGATGCTGTTCTTGTTGTCGTTCCTCGTGGCCTTGACATTAATAATCTAATAAATTCCACGTGCGTCTCTCAAGCTGAGACGCAGCTCTCGCATTGCAAAATTAATAAGGCCAATATAAGGGAGAGAGTGCATAAAAAATTGGAATGCGATCAAACAATAGCCGAATTGGCGGAGAATTTTGGCAATTTTAACAGAAAAAAAAAAGTTGATTGTCGAATTTAACGAGAATATATAACCGCTTCCATGTACTTTTATCAGCGAACAAATAATATATATATATACACAAATTTATTAACAAATTAATTGATTAATTATTTGGATATATGTTTAAGCAGATTCTTTATGTAGCACGTAAATGAAGGTCGACTGAGTTTAAATACTGATTCCTCATTGGTTGAATCGTCATCATTAGTTTGCACTGGAGGCGGGAAATTTGAATGTGGCGCACGCAATGCACAATCAATCATCTATCTATATATATAGTAGTCATAAAATATTATACTCTGAATTTAGAAAGTATTTAATTAGGACATATGTGCAAAAGTACTTTAGAATCATAAAAAATTTTGTGAAAATTGATTTACATTACAGAAATTTATTAACATTCCATATTTTTTTTATGTAATTAAAACTCAGATACTCTATATTTTTATTATTTCAGGAGATCCCCCTTTCACATCCGGTGCAGGATAAAAAAGGGCCTCAAGTGAGCATTCAAAATATACTCTCCGTATTATTTACAATTTATGCAAATTAAATTTTTTAATTATTAAAACTATATTGCAGGTGAGGTGGGACTGTGTTTTATCTCACGAACAATCGCAGGAGAAAGAGGTAGAGTCACTTACATTTTCATTGAATGATTAAATGAATTTACAGCTCGCTACATCATAAATATAATTATATATTTAGAGTTTTAGTGATGAATCCTCAGAAGACTTCCCGAATTTAAAAACCATTGTGGAGAACGAGCAGGATAATTTAATTCACATTAAGGATAATTTAATCGAGATTCTCCGAACATTCAATTTTAATGAGGAAAAGGTATTTATAGTGTCTTTAGAAAGTAAAAAATGGGTTTACATATAATTAAAAAAAAAGTGAATATGCAGAGATGATATGAGAATTTTAGACAATGACAATTTAATTGTAGGCTTATAAGAGAGGACTAGCTGATGCCCACGAAAAACTCCAAAGTATGGAGAATCTTCTGGAAAATTATAACATTCAGGTGATTAATTTTATTCGACCCAGAAATTAACAGTTGATTCTATCTTTATACTCTCAATTCGTAAATAAATTATTAAAACATCGGCTCATTGCGTTATTCTTCAGAAATCATGGGAAGATTCAGATTGCAATACATTCATCAGCCACACGAATAAATTAACAGAGGCTATTGAAATTTTATCAAAAATCTGTCTGTCAAAGGAAAATCAAATTAGTCAAGTTCTCTGCACATTTCAAAATTCATTAGAGAAGACAGATAAAATCGAAAGAGAATCAATCGAAAAACAGGGAAATATATCTCGACAAGACTTCAAGGTGATGGAAGAATTCAGAGTCTGCACGGTGGAGGCACAGGCAGCTGTAGAGGATCTTCAAGAAAAAATTACTTCAATAGTTTCCAATCTGTCCTGCAGACACCAATTATTCATTGATCTGAAGATTGCTCTTGACAATAGCCAGGAAGAGATTAACAAAACCGATGACGAGCTATCAGATATATTGGATTCCTTGAAAAAACATATTGATGAAAAACTTATGACCAAAGAGAGAATGATTTCCGGGAGAGAAAAGCTACATGATTTCAAAAATAAAATAAACAAGTGCCTTGTTGAATTGAAATTATTAACAGCAGTTGACCAAGTGGAGAACTCCTGCAACAATTTAATGGACAATGTTATTGATGAGATAGAATATATACTGTGTCATTTACAAGTTTTTATAACTAAAGAGGAATCTACTTATGACTTGTTAAATAAATCCAGAGATCTGGTGAAAAGGCTAGAAGATCATTTAAGTAAATTCAAGAAATTTAGTGATTGCGTGTTACGTGATGATAAATCGGCGAAAGATATTTACGAGCAGAACTGGGAGAAATTGGAGAAATTAGAGAGTGAATTGGACGATGCACACACACGAATGCAGAATAATTTAGAAAATATAGTCCAGAGGAGTCAACAGGATGAATATGTTCATGATTTATCCTCTGATTCACAAGAGGGAACGTCTCATAGATATGACGACTCGACAAGCCAATCAATTTCGGAATTAGAAGAACTAAAGGGTATAGTAACATCCAAAGATAAATTGGTAAGCTAAGTATTTAATTAATTTATTATAAGATTAATTAATTAATAATTAATCCATAAGACGATAATCGTAGCAACAAAAGAAATTTCTGTAATACATTATTTCTAGATTCACCAGAAGGACGAAATTATAAAGATCCAGAAGGAATCAATCTACATGACGCAAGAGGAAATGAGAAATTTGCAACGCAAACTGGAAGAAAAGGTAATTTAATCGCTAGAGATGAAAGAAAAATTTCATTATCCTTCACATTTTCATTTAATTTTTGTTTTTCTAATGAAAATTACGTGATTTTACCGTAAAGTGTTTCGTTTTTAATTGTGAAAATTAAGAGAAAACTAAAGATAACTAGTAAGTTATGGAAATAATATTATACATACAGACAAACACTATTGATTTCAGATTAATACACATCTGGAGGAAAAGAAACATTTATTAAAAGAGGTATGTACTCATTAAATGAATATTATGAGCACTAGTGTCCGTTGATCGTCATGAAAAATGTCTTTACAGAGTAAATTGCAGATTGAAACGATTGAGCACTTGCGAAAAGCTGTTGTCGATGGGAAGAAGAATTCAGATCGTCTGTCTAGTCAAAAATCCGTTAGCGATGTAGTATGGACTTCTATTACACCAGCAGTGTTCAATAATGGTGACGTGCATGATATTTAAGAGGGAAATTAATTTGTACATATTTCATGTCAAATCAGTTAATGAATCAGTACCTGTATGACCTTTTATCTTCGAATAAAATGACTTCAGTGCAATTGAATATTCAATTTTTTAGTCATTCGTGTTAAATAATTTGGTAAATGGGCACAATATCAGCTTTTTATTAAATTTATTCGATTTTCAAAAGATCAGGAGGAAAATAGAGTCAATCCAATTAGTTGAAGGTGGAGACTAGATCAGACATGATTTTTGTTGGGTTGATATGACTTCGATATAAAAGTCACACCATATCAAGCGATTTTTAATTTAATAGATTGATTTAATGGAAATTAACTGATAAAATTTTATTAAATATATATCTCTAAAAGGGAAGAAAAGTCTCGTGCAGCTACAGGTGACTTGGAGGATATAAATTTAAAAGGCTCAACCTAGTTCTCTAATTATAAGACAGGAAAATTTAGTGAAGACTGGTATTGTGGTCATTTGCCAATCATTTTTATGGTTTCACTCGATTCTAGGGAAAAATCAATAAAATCCCTGAGGATATACATTTTTATGTCTTTTGATATGCGCTAATCCGTCCGTTATTACTTCATGTCTCGATTTTAACAGAATAATAAGATCGGCGACGAGATGAACGCAATTGTGAGGGAATTAAACAGTGAGGATTCTCTTCAGTGTCTGGATTATGAGAATGCTCTAATGAAATGCATAATGAAACTACACGTCTCCAGGTACATCATCCGTGCCCTCCACATTCGTTTGTGCTCAACACAAAAATTACTTGATGAAAAATCGGATGAACTAGCCTGCCTTGCTGCGGATTATCAAATAATTTATGTACGAATTATTTAAATAGTTTATTGAGTCAATTGTATACTATTTTCGTAATTGCAGAATCGTTCTTCAATCCTGGAAGCAGCTAGCCGAAATTTCAAGTGTAAACAGGAGGAAGAACACATGTTCCTTCTCTCTGCTATTTTCCAACTCAGAGATAAAATGAAAAATATTGAGAAAGATTACAGAAGAGTTTGTGATGATTTTGAGAAGAGCCAGAAATTACTGATGATTGCGACAAGTCGAGAAGTCGATTTGCAACGATCGCTCTCTGTTTTGCAACATTCATATGAAGAAAAAGCTTGCCAATGGTTTGGAGAACAGCTCGGTTCCATCAAGAAGCGTGTGAGTCCTCGTAATCTTAAAAACCAAACACCCTTTCCCCAAAATTCACGATTTTTTCGTTTTTCTGATAAATGCACAATGCACTCGACGTGAAAAAACGTGAAAAAATATATCGTCTTTACGTTTTGTAATTATTTAATGGCTCACGAAGTTTCAAGTTCATGCGAACGTTTTTCTGTTTTTTTAACTTTTATAAATAATCACAAAATTAAAGAAAAACGCGTGAGAATTATGAAATCGTCACGAAATTTCGTGAGCTATTGAATAATAAAAACGAATAATGATGGAATAATAATAATAATAAGTAATAATAAATAAATAAAAATAAATAATAATATTGAATAATATTGAATAATGATAACGCTACATTGTTATATTTTTTCACATCAATCCTATCGATAATTTACCAGAAAAATATAAAAAAACGTTGAAAGGGTATCGCACCCTCTGAGAATATCTTCTCTTCTGTCGTTAACAAAATATTGTAAAATTAGATGAAGATACTCCAATCAAAATGTGATGAGCTAGCAAATGAGAACATTCAATTGAAACGCCAGTTGCAGAGTTACAGAGGATATAATGTGCTTAGGAAAGTGCAAAAGAGGAGACTCAGACGTACAAAGTAAAAACAAGCAAATAATGTTAAATTATAGAACTATAATGCTTCTGCAAAATACCCAGAGAATGGTTTGCAATGAAATTAGAACGACAGAACATATTATTAAGAATATTTGGCCAAATGCTTGTTGGAGTTATAACAATTAGATCATTTAGCATTTTTCAATTATTTAAATGCAAAGAAAAATTATGTACAGCATTCAGTATAATTAATTTGCATCAGGCCGATCTATTGATAATAATTTGGGACTTATTATCTTAGAATTCCGACAATGTTTTTCAAATATCTAGACAAGCTGATTTGCAAAGAGAAATTATTGTTATAAAACAAATTATTTAGAATGTTTGGCCAAGTGTTCATTTGATCTATAACGATTAGATCGTTTTCCTATTTTTCAATTATTTAAATGCAAATAAAAGCGAGATCCAACATTCTAATGAATTAATTTGAGTGTCAATTAATAATTTGAATAACTTATTATTTTAGAATGCCGTCAATCACTGTCAGAGATTACAAGTACTGGCGTAAAAACATCGAATATAAACGAATAGCCAGTTGGTCTTGCAGAATTGAACAATCCTCGCATACTTGAAAAGGAACTTTAATAAAAATAAAATCTCATCCCCCAAAACTTGTATAATGCAATTAACAAATTGATAATCCCTACATTCCACTGATCCTGCAAAATGGAGAACTATTTTTCTCATTAGCACCATCCCACAAATAAACAACACGTACAAAAAAAGCAAATCAATATTGATAATTACCCAGAGAACCAATTTATTTTTCATCATCATTAAATTGGTTCAATAAAATTGCAAATAACAGGACAAAATACTATAAAAAAAAAACGAAAATGATGCTGATGATCAACACCCTTCAGGCTTCATTCTTCATTCTTTAAAATAATTTACCATGATTGATCAATAGAATTAATATACAATATACTTTAAAGTTATAATTATTATTACACGTTACAATCTGACGAAGAAAATATATAGTTTTCAATTATAGCAGCAGGAATGGCCCCTACTATCTTACAAGAATGGTTTTGCGTGCCAAAATTTTTCATAATTAATATTGGGTTCAATAATTGTTTACTTTTCCATTCGATCCATTACCTATTTACCTTACATATTGAATCGTAATAGTTCATTCATCATGTATCAGCAAATTATCATTATTATTATTATTTCCTTACATAAACCATATTAGATATATGATTCGTATAATATATAATGTATTTATATATAGTATATTTATATATTTATAACGAACACCGTCCATTACTACTAGAATAACAAACGGGGCTTACGCTTTTCTTGTTATTTATCTTTTTCCTAATTTCTCTCTTTTTCAACAGATTCATCAGTTCCCAGGACAGTTGATATCGTCGAATATATTGTGACAGTGATGTTTTATATTTAATTATTCTTCATCTTTTCATTCGATATAAATTCCTGCTAGGTTTAATTGTGTTGAGTAGTATTGCCTTTCCATGAATTTCTTGATAATTTATCTAAGTTACCACAATGAATCCTTGGACGAGTTTCTTCCGCAAAGGTACACCCATTCAACAACTCTCCCTCGTGCAATCTTTCACTCAGAGTTCGTATTTTTCAATATTCAATTAATAATCAAATATAAATCGATCGCAATAGCTGTCTCAATATGTAATCGTTTTCCCTCAATCCTCATTACCATCTAGAACTGTTTGCATTTTAGATCTCGAGTGGTTATGACTTTTTTTTTTGCTTTCCATTTTTGTTAATTTTTTTTTTTTGCGATTTTCTTCGATGCTCGTTATCTCGTATAAATTCAGATGGGGATCCAATGACCGAGGATGCTTGCCAGGATGACAAATATCCAGTGAGTGTCAATCTGCAAATTTAATTACATGAATTCCAGTTAACGGAATAATGAAGGGAGTGAAAGATAGGACAAGATGTGAAATGAAGAGGATGTTTTAAAATGACAGTAGCATCTGTGGATTAGAGTATATTTTTAAAGAATTTACTGATAAACACTGACAGTGATAATTGAATTGAACATGGCAATAATCCTCGTGATATTTTATCGCATAAAAAATAATAATAATTTTACCGATATGAAATGAATGAGAGCGACATCTACGAATTTGTCCAATCACTTGCAGCAGTTACTCGCTGCAGTTTTTTGTCCCTCAGACTCCACTAGCCGACGGCCCTGACCACTCGTACTTGCATTTCCCGTTTGTTCATTCTTTGGGAGTTTTTTAGCTAAAGATAACGATAAATATTGAATAAAATTCTGTTTGAAAAACAAAAAAAAATTTTATAGAAATTCCTCACTTTTATTTCTAGGACAACTCACCGATTGCTAAGAATATATCGTTGACGTTCATAGCAGTTTTCGCTGATGTCTCCATGAATAAAAGACCATTCTCGTCGGCATAAGCTTGAGCCTCGTCATAATCGACCATACGTTTGTTTGCTAAATCGGCTTTATTTCCTGCAAGTGCTATCACTATACTGGGACTTGCTTGTCGTTGAAGCTCCTTTACCCAAGTTGTGGCTCGTACGAATGTGTCCTAAGCAATTAAAATAATGAATAAATAACACAATTGACAAATACAAAATACAAATTATCACTGAAATTCACATTTTTTAGGCACTCACTTGATTCTGTATGTCGTATACGACAATTGCGGCCTGAGCACCACGATAATACATGGGGGCAAGACTGTGGTAGCGTTCCTGACCTGCTGTATCCCATATTTCAAATTTAACAGTCGTATCATCGAGACATACAGTCTGTGTTAAAAATGCAGCTGAAAAATCATTTAAACAATGAAAAAATTGAATTAATAATAACAAGACGGAGATAAAATCCACTCACCTCCTATTGTACTTTCTTGGTACTCATGAAATTGCCCTTTAACAAACCTCAGTACCAAACTCGATTTGCCAACAGCTGATTCGCCAAGTAATACCAATTTGAACTGACAAATTTTACCTTGAGTGCCATTTGGCCTTTGGGCCACCGTCCCACGGTTAGCCATGACAATCTGAAAATAAAAAATACCAAAAAACATTAAAAATTCACTGACTCAATCGTATCACACTCGTCATTACTCAGATACACATCCACACAACTATTATTCTTCTAATCCTTCAATGATCCCTGGACTGATAAATGCTGTCTGTTCCTATCTTGTCATAAACTTTTATATCAACAAATGCATGCATGCATCGCACCACACACTCCCAATGTGGAAGATATGAACAATAATAAACATTTGCGATATCTTTGCGAATTATTAATTTGGCAATGAAGATACCAGTCTTAATAACTCAAATTATCTCCCAATCAAGCCAAGTGACACCACCAAGGTGGTGCTTGAGGTGCATATACGTTTTATTTTATGATGATGACATTAATGTACTCAATCAACACTGTTACATCCACCTCCACTGTTTTTCCAGTCGACGATCCGATCGTCACGCCGCCCCTCCTTCGAATAACGTCCTGTGAAACTCCTGTCCTCTACAACTGCCATTCCATACAATAAAAAAATCACGTGAAAAAAAAAAGCCATTCTCAAACAAAACGTACATATGAATCTATCGTAACTACAATTAATGCTCATGATACTGTAGCTCTCACTAATACAACAACGTAAAACCTTAAAACTGTAAAAACTTGACTGGTATCACAAGTTCGCTCATGAGTCGCACACACTCAACACTGATATCACCAATCAGGAATTTCTGGACCAGATGTTTCCACAACCAATAAAAATGATTAACAATAACGAAAAAAAATTGAGCAAAAAAAAAAAACAACATTGAGCATTATTACAAATTCCACAGTAAAAAATCCTAGAACTTGATGAGGTATGCACAACCTAGAACAGAGTGGGGATTAATCTCCACGCAAACATTGAAAAGTCGTGACGTTGATAAAACCTCGACTGGAGAATGAAACTATATTTTTTAAAAGACGGAAGAACGACGCAAAAACAAAAACACAAGGAGTAGCAAGGCAGAAGATGTGTGTGACTCACGTTCAGCATGACAGACACTTGTGCATGATCATATTCATAGAGCTTTTGACCAAAAAATGAATAACTAGCTTCTAAGATATCCAACCCAAAAACATTCCTCTCAATTCAGATATTCCATCAGTATTCCCCCATTCCCATAACAATCTCACAACAGAAAATCCACGTACTGTCGACTCACATAAATTATTTAAAAAAAAAAAAGAGATGCACATAAATTCACCCTAACCAGAAACAATATCCCTTGTTCACTGCAGTTTGTACGTCACTGATCTCCCGAAAATTCCTCCCACTTCCGTTCGAAATCCCATTATCCCCATAATTCTGCCTATCACCTCCCCTCTCTCCCCACCGTGCCAAGTGATTTAAAATTTGATATTTGAAATATTTACTAATTAACAATATGACGCCCAATGCACTGTGACGCCTCTTACTTTACCGTATAATTAACACCAATTACTCGTTGTATTTCCAGATAAAGGGTTGAACAGATTGTGGAGTAGTTGAATAATAATTTCAACGTGAAAAATAAAAAAACTAAATAATATGGTGAAACGTTGGGACGACACCAGGAGGCCGCCTGTCTACCCCTCTTTCTTGGTCAGCACTAGTTTCTCCACCTCCTCGATTTTAAGTTTGTTTCAATCAGCACACCCTCCCATCCCTGCTAACATGGCCGACATCACTCTGTACGGTACCCTGTATTCCTCGTCCCCCTCCCTGCTCCTTTCATACTTTTCCCTGGCGTGTTTTACACGTCACTCATCCCTGTCCCATTCAATATTATTCCCCATCCAATTTTCCATCCTCCATTACCATTATCCTCGTCTCTCTATTCACCCCCTTTGCCCCCTCTACCACCTCATCCCACCACCAATAATTCAATAAACAACTGAATTATTTGTTCTTCGTAGGATAACCAGATTTTTTTCCCCTCACTCACTCACTCACTCGTCTCATCAGCTTGTCAATTTACCCTTTATTCGTCCTGCTCTGCACTGTTGTATTGTATTCCTCCTGACGATTACACTTCCTGATTGTTTATTGCACTCTGAGATTTATCAAGTATTCAACAATATTTATTCATCACAAATGTTGAGGTGTAATTGCGGTATAATGCAAACTGGAGTCACTTATTTTTCATTCGTGCACGGTCTGGCTGATACACATACAACAATTTTGTACTGTACGTTTGGGGCTCGAGATGTCACTGGTGAACTGAAAAAAGGCGGATTTTCATTTGCTATTTTAACATGAATGACATGTCGCTGGGGTTTCTATACGAAAATTTATCAGAGGCTTGAGACAGTGACACACACATACATTGTCATCTTTCAAGCTCTATGTCAGTCCCATCAGTTTCTATATTTTCGTTACTGCACATTCCCATTTTTCATTATTACTCATCAATAAAAGGAATCAGGAGTTACTGCACTTCACACCGGATCACGAAGAGGAGAGAGTATTTATTTCAAGTGTTATTATTTGAAGAATAAATTGGATAAAAAAATTACAATACATATACTTCAGGATCATGGCGGATGGGGAATATAATTTTGCATGTCTCGTGATGGTCTCGAAGATGGTGAAAATCATGAAAGAGGAATCAAAATTGATTTGTAATTGAAACGAAAAAGTGGAAGAAGAGGGTATGAGTGAACTTCATTGGCCAGTAAGTAAAAGATCCGACTGAATAATAATCGCGATAAAAAATTACAGCAAAAGATGAAATATTTGTTTGCTGTATAGAAGATATCCGGTGAATTGAATTTATAATTTATTATGCGTGTCTCTAAAATTTTTAAGGATAATCATAAGACATTTATGTCCATCGAGAGCATTGGATTGATTTTGGAGTACATTTGGGATTGCCTTCGATTGAAATGTCACTCGAGTAAATAATTTTCAATAATCATCTCACCAAAAAAAAAAAGAATAAACGAAAGACAGAGATATGACTGGGAAGACAAGAACAAATGGCAGAAAGGGCCCATACATATTATACAAGCGGAATGTATCAATCAGCTGATCGAAAGTGTTGTTAAGACATGTGAAAATAATCACTGATTACATCGCTCTCACACGTCGGCAAGAAAATATTGAATAGCCGTCGTTTTATCCCGTGTGACCTGAACGCGAGGCCTACATCATTTCTAATAGAATTTCAGGATAATTGTGGTATTTATTGGTAACTGGAGGTCAATTGAGGATGGGAAATAAAAATAGCTGTTGTGGTTATTCGAGTCCACAGCGGGAGAGAAAACAGTTGGGGAGTGATGGAGGTACCAGAGGATTGGAGGAGCATCTGCCAGAAGGTGAATTTAGTGTAACAAATTTACAGCACATTAGTGAAAGAGAGCCTGAGGACTGGGACTCTGATCCCTCGTTACATCCATGTGCTGGCACTATTTTTATGGAGAGATCAAAGCAAGCCATAGAGAGTGAGTTATTCAATTGCCCATTATCATTATTATTTTTATAGAGGAGGGTAATGGACATATTTCTATTTATATTGATGTATCAGCAATTATAAACGCCTTGTTTAAAATCCTTCAATTATTAATTTAATTATTTAATTATCGTCAATTATTATTAACGATTTTTTTGCATTAACGTGTTTTTTATTTTGGAAAATCCCACAGGACGATCTATTAATTGTCTAATTGCTGAATACGTAATTTATCTATTTATGCTTGTGTGACAATTGAAAGTGTTCATATTATCCTGGACTCTCCTTTAATGTAGTCAGTTGAGAATATAAATATTCACGGTGTTTCAGACGGAATGGTGAGGAAGAAGAGCCAGCATCAACTAGCGGATACGAGACCTCTGAAGAAAAGCAGCAGCTGTAGTACTATTTACTTGGATGACAGCACAGTCTCCCAACCGAATTTGAAGAATACGGTGAAATGTGTGGCTCTTGCTATTCATTATCATATTAAGAATCGAACATCCCAGAGACAAATTGATATTTTCGATGAGAAAGTTCACCCATTGACTAGGGATGGCATTGCAGATGACTACGACAAACACAATCCCGAGCATAAACAAATTTATAAATTCGTAAGGACCTTATTCAATGCCGCACAACTGACAGCTGAATGTGCCATTATAACTCTGGTTTACCTCGAGCGTTTGTTGACGTATGCTGAGATTGATATAACACCAGCTAATTGGAAACGCATCGTCCTGGGTGCGATTCTCTTAGCCTCCAAGGTATGGGATGATCAAGCCGTCTGGAATGTTGATTATTGTCAGATTCTCAAGGATATCACCGTCGAGGATATGAACGAACTCGAGAGGCAATTCCTCGAAATGCTTCAGTTCAACATCAATGTACCATCGAGTGTTTACGCTAAATATTACTTCGACCTTCGTACTCTGGCCGAAGCTAATGAATTGACATTTCCCAGTGAACCACTGAGCAAGGACAAGGCACAGAAACTTGAAGCAATGTCACGGGTTTATGAAGATAAAGTGACGACTGAGGCACTACAAAATGGAATAAAAAAATGGTCAAGTCTTGATAATGTTTGTATGGGTGGTCCAAGGCGCAGTATCGCCATTCTCTCTTAAAATGCCAAATCTCTTCTCATTTCTTTTTTAATGCCAATATTATTAATACTATAATGACGAAAGAGATACATCGACATTCCATCATTTGAGGACAAATGTAGTGTGAGCTATTGCCCAGATACTGAACTCTATATCTGCCGACGAAAGTGATTTATCTAATTACCAATTCTAGTGGAGTGAAAGAATGATAACGTATGGGAATACGATCCACAGCTGCGATTTTTTAACTGCGATAATTCGTGTCAGTGATACTAATCGTCCATAAGTAAACTGCATTCACGCCAACTGATTAGCTATTTGATTTTTTTATAATAATGTCATTGTATGATTCGCTTTTTATACACCTAGTAAATGTTTTATTCCACTTTTACATCATCTTGTCATCAGATGTTTTTATTCGACGCATTATTTCGTTTGGATTATTTAAGCGATTCTATTGGCGTGGAAGAGATTAATAGATTTTAATAAACGAAACTCATTATACGAGATAGATGAGAGTCGTCCATTTCGTCTTGAGGTTTTACAAGTCTACCAGGCAAATAAAAAAACAATTATTCATCTTTCCTTAATTAATCTTTTCGTCAATTTCATGATTATTTTTCATTCACTCGAGAGTATTATTTTCCAATGAATGTTATATGAATTTTATACATTGTGAATTAATCCTCAGATGAAATGGTCTTGATGACGAAATTCTCCTTCTCTATCTGTATATATTTTTGTAAGAGACAATTTCAGATAAATATTCAAGCAGACCCTGTTATTTTTTTGTCATTTGATTTGTTCTCAGATTGAAGCAAAGCGTGCGCATAAGTGACAAGTTAAATATAGGAATTATTGAGAAACTCAAATCCAATATCAAATAGAAAATATTCTTAAATCAAGATTATTATATTTGATTAGAGAATATTTTTATCTGTCGCGCATAGTAACGAAACTGTCAAGTGACAAATAGAAGTTAAAAATCTCAGAGCGTTACACAATTTATTGCATTTGCCTCAGAGAATTATCTCCTCGAAAAAGGCAATTACAATCGTAAATATCGATATCTCGTCTGTCGATATTTAGTACGCATAATCAATAAGTTGCGCCAATGTTGATGTAAGGATTTTTACTTTTATTTATACGTATTAAACGATCAATAAGTGACGAAAGAGTAAACTAAAATAAGAAAGAACTTAGGGGGAAAAAACTGAATTTGTACTTATGGCGAATAAGTTGACTTACGAATTATGATTCTACAAATTTATTATACTAAATGAGTAAAATAAAATAAAATAGATTATTATAATTTAAGGCGTTTAATGTCATCCGAACGAAGATCAGTCCTGAGGCCAGCGATTTTTCGAACTTCAGCTGGGGTCAAGCGCCAAGCGATAGCATCAGCCCCACAATAATCAATCAACTCTTCGACTTTTTCAACACTTAAAATCGTAGCTATTTGAACAAGTCTTGCGAATTTATCCCTCACAGACCACGATGTTGCCGATGCTAAATAACTCGCAAGCGATCTTATTTCCTTATCCAATATTAGACCACCAGCTCTATTAAATGTCGACTTCAACACTATTTTTTCCAATCTACTTGTTACTTCTGACGTTAAAATACCAACAAAGGCATCATAATTCGATGATGTAAGGCTATCCTTAAAGCCCTGGAGAAGACCCTCTAAATTCATGACCAACGTCTGAACAAAAGGCTCATCAGTCTCGTACCTCAGGAGATCGTCTTCATTGACTTGATGATTCACCGAGAGAAAAGCGTCAACCCAAGGAGTGACTCTGGGTTTAACAGCACTCGCACGTAACTGCTCCATTCCATAATCTATCACTGACCTCAACGTTGTGGTGACACTCTTCATTCCAGCTAGACAACTATCTATTTTGCCTCGATCCTTCTGGGGCATTTGAGGAAATGCTGATTCTATTTCATTAACTAGACTCTTACTTAATGTATCAACATATTCAATACTGACATCTGCATTATTCAAATATCCAAGAAACATTAATCTACTGTATTCAGTATCAGAGGCTTGCAGACGGCCCTGCTGAATACTCGTTTGAAGGGCATTGTAAGCTTGAGTCAAGTCCAAATAACCCGCTGGATAGCCCTGACGAAGACGATTCTTCAGGCGATTGGCATAATCACCCTCTAAAATACCACAGGACATGTTTATCACAGCGCAAATACCGTCAATGCTCCAGCTAAATATCGCTCGTCTTACGCATTTTTTAACAATATAAAAAACATCATCAACCATGCTTGAAGTGTGCTGATCTTGCTCTAGAATGTCCATCCCCAAGGCTTTGTTGACAGATTCCTCTAGAAAATATCTCTCAAGTGCTAGATAAGCCCCCAATATTTCTTGCATCGCATGAGATAATCCAGAGTTCTTCATCATTCTTTCGAATTCGTTCATCCGAATTTGGCGTTGCTCATCATCCTGATTTTCTACCTCAATGTCGTTGATTATTCGCCTTCGGAGAAATCGTATGTACAATTCTGCTCTGGTGTGCATGAGGGTGAGCTCTCCCAGTAGAAGATCCAAGAACTTTGGATCTAGTTTATCATTTTTGTCTGATGTACCAGTTGATTGTCGATTATAATCATTTATTGACTGAACTTTCTTGTGGATGCTCCGATTTTTCATTAATTCATTGACGATTAGTCTCATCTGCCTGTCACATTCTTTCTGAATAATTTCAACAGTTTTTAACAATCTACCCGGGCCGTAATAAGTCTCTATGATGGGCTGATGAACTTCAATTATTCTCGCTATTCCTTCGAACAACAGAGTCATTGTATCTGCATAAATAACTGGTGCTCGATCATCATTAGATTTAATATCTAACGCTGAGCGGAGATTTTTTTGACCTGTCTCTTCCAATTTTGAGGATAAATAGAGACTGAATTTCTCTAGTCCCTCGTCATGCATTCCGAGTAGTGGGAAAATTTTGAAGAAGCGTTCGACTGAGGCCAGATCCTCGGACCTAACAGCCTCATCGAATTTTCGACTGACAACTGATCGAAGTTGAAAAGCAGCTTCCTTCAAGGTCGATAACGACCCAGCAATGCTCATTCGTTCTCCAGATACATCATCAGCTGTTCTTTCCAACAATTTTTCGTCCATCAAAAGATATCGACGCACATGACCAGCCCCTTGTTCATAATCCTCATTCTGAAGAGCAGTTGCCACACCCTCGCTGCACAGCTGGAGATCAAGAATATCGTGGACTCGACTCTGACATTCGCACACTCTACTCCTCGCTAGATCAAGCTGTCTAACTTTAGCACTGACAGTTTCAGCTAGTGAATTTGTTTTATCAATCATCGTGCAAAACTTTTCACCTTCCTCTCGTATCGTCATGATGTTGGGGAGGATCTTGCTGATACTCCGGAGCTTCGACTCCAAATGGCAGTGCCTCTGGAGCATCAGCTCCAATTCTTTATTCACCTGAATCTGTAGGTCAACAACAAATGTAATGAGGTTGAGGTTATGTACACACTCTCTTACATACTCACTTCATCATCCTCTAATTTCCTACAAATTTCAACTATAGTGGCTTTCGAAATAGGTTCTACAGCTGTTTTTATCATTTCTCTTTCACTTTTGCTGATCTGATTTGGTATTTACAAAAATATTATGTACAAACGAATGACAATTGTCTGATTACGTTGACAATTGTTGGTTCTTTTTCAATACAACAGATGGAGGTACATGTCCCCTTGATTATTATTATCAACAATAATTAACACCGGGATTGCCGGGACTAATGTTTAAATAGAATCTTGTGATTACATTTTATTTAAATCCATTTTCTGCTGTTGCTTTTACATAATTCGCAATTAGAGGTACTTTACGTTAATTCTCAACCCCGAGGGCACATAAACTTCTGCTTTGCACATAATCAAAAGGAGAGAATTACCGTATCAATTAGGATGAAAAGTAGTAAAAGTAAAAATGGTTTGCTATGAAAAATGTCAAGGCATCCTAGTGAAAGGATCTGCTCACAAGGATCTCTTATTTATCAGGAGGGCATATTACATGGGCTTATGTACCTCGGAGTCGCGTGTTAACAGACGATTTCTAAATTACATGTGCAATAATGGCGGAGTTCTTTCATGAGGAGCAGTATAAGATTTCACTCTTTAGTACTGTGACCTCTACTCCCCAATTAAATGGAACTTTTTACGTCAATCCACCACATGCGAAAAAATCCAACAAAAATGACGGGAAAAGAACGGAAAAATGACGTTTCGAACTTCAAACAATAAGCGAAATTATGTTAAATAAAAAATGGGAGGTAAACAAGCAATATATTATTCTTCACGAATTTTTCCTGACTTACGATTTGCGATGTACAGGTTTCACCTTTTGAATTTCTATATTTCTAGTCTTAAACTTTATTTATTAATTTATTAATTATTGCGTTATTTTTTTAGTTGTTCACTTCATGAGCATCATCAGGACTTTTTCTATTCAATTCTTCTCTTGAAGAAAATTAATGAAGATTTCCTCATTTCTGTTAAATTTATTATTGGTTTGGAATTTATTTAGTTTCGTGTAGATTATTATTTTTATTGCTTCCATTTAATTATTCCATTTACGGTTTTTTAATGTTTATATTATTATTCTAATCAATTCAATGACTTCATTAATTAATTTCAATCATTTATTTATTTCTGTTTATTATTGAAGTTTGAGAAATAGTTGAATTTTTCTGATTTATTTTCTTCCGTTCCTCTAAAACTACCGGCGAACAATTTCTTCTTCCGGATTACGTTAATTGTTCGGTAATTGTTCTTATTATTATCCTCATGTGATTATAAATTGTTGGTTTTAGTTATTTATAATGACTATTTCATATTTTTTGCAGTGATGAACTTGAGAAATTGCTGAACGTCTCAGATTTATTCTCTTTAATTCCCATAAAACCACCAGAAAGCGATTCCATCTCTTAGATTACGCAAATAGTCCTCTCATTTTCACTGACGATTTCTCTCCAAGACCTTCTGCTATTTTGCAAATATTGTGGAAAAGGGCATAGGGCCCCAACTAGATAATTAATTCGACGACAGTCATTGCCTCCCTTGTACTCACAATTTTTTAATTACACCAGCAATTAGAGACTGACAGATTGGAATGAAGCCTCGGGCACTAAGATAAATCTTTTTTACATCACATTACTCAAGCCTAGCCATGTGTGAAGCATAAATAAAGACAACTTAAAAATAAAATGAGCCAAGTACCGGAATTTTAATTAATCCACCGTTTAAACAAACAACGATCGCACCTCGTTAAAGTTCAAGGAGTCAAGATGTACCGAGCTGAGGAGTAATCGTCAAAAATCTAAAAGAATATAAACATAAATTCTGGAGTAGTTACCATAAATGAGGATAATTAAAGTGAGTCACTTAAGTATCTCGTTATTTCCAAACGACGCAGAGAAAAAAAAATCTGTTTTGGAATCATGACAAGGGTCATTGTGGTAATTATTAATTTAAATTAAATTTACAGAGGAACTGCATTCATTCTCTTAGCATGGACCGCTAAAACCACAACAAATTGACGTGACCGCATGTGGGTTCCACTCCAGGCAGAGTTTGCACACTTGTTGAGGAGTAATTTCCATAGTCCAACTAATTGACCCCGCAAATCCAGTGAAATGAGAGGAGATCAACAAAAAAGAACAACTGATTGAACAAACAGAGATGTACATGTAGGCAAAACGGTACTATATGAGCGCAAAATAATATTTACCCGATGAGCAATGTCATGGGTGGTTTGAATACGCTAATGGCCCGCCCAAGCTCATCTCAAAACTCTCCGTTAAAATCTTCTTCAACATTTACTCTTTTCTTGATACCTACATCACCAATTCACCATCATTCGTTGCGGCAGTTTGTCCTCGTGGAGTGGAAACAAAAAATTTGACTTTACAATGACTACTTCAGCGTGTGGCTATGGTATATACGTATTATTAATGAAAATATCAGGTGTGTATGCGGCTGAAGAGCATATAGTCCACTCGGGTGTATCAATCCAAAATGTCTCATGTCACCGACTCTTCTGAATTTTTGCAAACGTAAAACGCATCTTATGGAAAATCATAGACTGTCTGTTGGCTTGAAGATAATGATAATCATCTTCACTGATAAATAGGACAGTACGAGAAGGGGGAGGGGGTAAGCTATGCATGTTTTTATTGAAATTACGTGTATTTATATTAAAAATTAAGAACAACTATTTTTAATTAGTGTCTGTCGTCTGTTTTATTTCAGCATTCAGTACATTTAGATATTCAATTTCCTCATGATCAGGAACATAAGCCGAATCCCGAATCCGATGCTGAAAGGAAGGGGTAGAGACGTTAATTCAAGATAAAGAAGGAAGAAAAGGGAATGGTAGGAGTGTCTTGTGATGTTGTTGTTCCCGGAGATGTGCAGTCATCACCCTGACAACACCGTGACAACATCTCCAAGAAATAAAAGTAAATAAATAAAACATAAAATCGAGAATACGATTACTAAGGAAGTATCTCGAAAATTGAAAAGTGATGTCTTTAAAGAGATTTCAATTGAAGATATCATTGCAGCGATGAGTGTTAGAGAATTGGTGAAATTGTCATGTGGTTTTCCACATGCAGGGGATATACTGAGAGAAGCTATGATCTCTCAAGTATATGCTGATGTTACTCTTTGCTGCATTGGCGGTGAAAAATTCCATGCCCATCGATTAGTCCTCTCCGCAGCTAGTCCCTATCTCCAGGTGAGTCATCAGAAACAATTGAAATAAATTGCATTGCCTTCGCTAGATCATACCCCAAAAACATGAAAATTATAAACAATATCTATTTTATTGCGTCAGTCTGATTTATGTTAATAAATTTAAAGTATTTTCAACTTAAATTAAATGGAATCGGAATAAAAATCGAATTAATTTTAGACTAAATAATGCAAGGAGTAATGTCTCTCGACTTGACTTTTTTACATGACAAAAATGTCACACTTGTATTATTGCTTTATTCTAAATAGATGTACCGGTCGCGAAAATATTTGAGAGATTCATATGCTAATTTATTGTAAATGGGTTTGTTTTTACCTCTTCTCGGGTGATTATTGTGAAATCAATTCAATAAAATTATCATTGAACGGCACTGAGAGAGAGGTATGCGTAAATGTTGGGGCTTTATTTAAGCGACAGAAATTAATTTAAAAAATCCCCAGGACAGATTTCCCTCAGAATAAATTATACAATATTCACCCTAAAATCTTCACTAATTTTTTAACATAACATCTATATTAAATCTGATGAATCATTCCTATTTGATAATTATTCCTTAAAAAATCAATTATTTTTTCAAGAATTTAATAAATTAACACTATGAGATTAATTCAAAAGTCCTGTCATTAAAAAATGCCATAATTATTTAATAATGAATTATATAAAAATCATGTGCTTATAATACCGAAATATAAATGAAGAACGTATAAATTAAAGAAATAAAGATGAACTGGGAAAATGTGGACATAATATTCGTCTAAAGAAATTTTCACAGGATAATTAATTCTGGAATCCTTTATTTATATAAATATTGATATATTTCAGAACGTCTTGTTGGCACATGGAAGGACAGTAGGTGTTTATGAACCGATTACCATGATTCTTCCGGATGTTGATGGTAACGATTTAGCTGCTGTCTTGGAATTCGTCTACACAGGACATACAGCGGTATCAGGGGAGAGATTGGATTCTTTCTCGAGTACCGCAGAAGCTCTTAAAATCGACATACCACCGATTCCCCGCCCTTTGACATTGTCCTGCAACGAGAGTCCTTTAACAACGAGTGAAATGATAAAATGTAAGAGATATTATGGAGAGTTCAATGCTGGAGTTAACATGACCAAGAGGAAATTGAATGAGAATAAATCGATTGGGGAGATTCCACTCAGAATTTTATCACAAAATAACTGTCTGAATTTTGATGATAAATATTTCAACGCATCGAGAGAAGGATTACGACCCCGATTTAGCGTTGCAAATCGTGTTTCTGCCTCGCCCTGGTGTCAGATACTACGACCACACAATTTACCCCGGCTCCAACCGATTATCATCAGAAATAATATACCACCTGGAGAAGATATCATTCAGGTGAGTCAGAGACAGAAAATTTATATAGCGTTTCACATCTTGTCATTTCACAGGAAATCGATGAATATATAATATAATATAATATAAAATAAAATAATATAATATAATATTATATAATATAATATAATATAATATAATATAAGAGAATATAATAATAATTTGGATTAAGTAGGAAGGGAACCCAAGATATAGTCCTCGATATAATTTTACAAGAAAAATTTACGGAGAAAAACGAGGGATTATTTATTTCAAATGATTTCGGGGAATAATTAATTTTATATGACTTTAATGGATTTCAAATTTTCAATTTCATCGTTATCGTAATAGCAATCAGTCAAGTGATCAAAGTATTAATGAATGGTAAAATTGATCGGTGAAATAAAATCACTTGAAATCGATGAAATCATGACTCTGCGGATTTCACGTGATTTCACGTTTCAGAACTGATTTTATATAATTTTAATCCAAGGACAGACTAATTTCACTAATGACGAATCCCTCGAAAAAATAAATAGTCCAATCAGGAAAAGGGATAACGATAGAACACGAATGATAATTAATACACGCGTGAAATGCTACTGGTTATTTTTTAGATGTAAAAATACACACATGTAATTTCATATGTACTTAAATCATTAAATAAAATAAAAAAATGTCGACACCTCAGCTGAATGGGTGAAATTTTAGAAGCGATCGACTGGGCCGAGTCACTCTCGTTGTTAAAGTCCCATAAAATTTTACACCGTCACTTATAAAAATGGCTTATGCATTCAAAGCAAAGACGATTTGAATTTTTTTTATAGATCCGTCGATTAGGCCGCCCATTCAATTTTACGATAATAATAGAATTGTAGAAATACGAAGTGATGACGACCCAGTACCGTTAGAGTAAATGGTAGAATTATGCGAGATGAGAATAAAACAACTGAAACAACAAATACCTAAGTTAAAAACTATTTGATTTATTATGCTTATTAATATTATTTGATTTATTATTGCAGACAAACACCGAGTCTCATGAGAAGTTACTTACGACAAGGGAATTATATTCCTCAACCCCAGATGTTCCACTTGTTCCAGTCGCTCCAGTCGCTCCAGTCGCTCCAGTTACTCCAGCTGATGAAATATGCAGTCAATCTACTCCGGGTTATCCTACTAATGCACCAGAAGGCTATCAGCAAATTATCACCGAGCTGTCAAGAGAGGATGTCTCTTTCGATGAAGCATTAATCACTCCGCTAGATAAACCAGTGCCGAGAAAACTCAACTTACTCGAACACAATAACGAAAAAATGCAACCAGATAACACAAACAAAAACGAGAATGCTCACGAGAATAATAATAACAATAATAATGAAAAAAATATTGCAAAACAACACAAATGTAGCGACTGCGACAAGGATTTTCTTAGCAGAGCATCATTGAAGGTAAGATTATAAAATAATAATCCATCAATTTTAATTACTCCAGGTGAAATAATAAAATGAAATTACAATGAAATTGAAATGAAATTGAAATGAAATTACAATGTTTCACTGATTAAAAAAGGTTCACGCCCGCCTGCACTCGGGGGAGAAGCCATTTCGGTGTAAAGACTGCGGAAAGGGATTTTCTCAGTTGAGAAATTACAAATATCACAGGAGCATTCACGAGGGAACACTAGAATTCTCCGGTACATGCCCAGAATGTGGAAAAACTTTCAACGATCGAGGATATCTCGGCTCCCACATGAAGATACACAGGAATAGAAAAGAATACAGCTGCAAAGAGTGCGGTAAAAGTTTCAATCAGCGTGTTGCGTACAACATGCACATGAGAATTCACAGTGACATAAAGCCTCACCAGTGTGACCAATGCGGCAAAGCTTTTTCAAGAAAAATGTTACTCAAGCAACATCTGAGAACGCACTCGGGTGAAAGACCATATCAATGTCATATTTGTCATAAAGCATTCGCTGATCGATCCAATATGACCCTTCACACAAGACTCCACTCTGGATTGAAGCCATACCAGTGCGAAATTTGTTCAAAAGCATTCACGAAAAAGCATCACCTCAAAACTCATCTCAACTATCATACAGGTGTTAAGCCTTACTCCTGTCCCAACTGTTCTCTTGCCTTTTCACAAAGCAGCAACATGAGAACTCACTTCAAGAGGTGTTCGGGTAGAGATAACTCTGTGAATAATCATACTCATGACAAAATCTATGTTAGTAATCCGCAGGTATTAGCATTCTCTGATGCGTTTACCCCACTCTGTTCAGATCTTGAACCCTCGAGCAATGCTACATCACAGGATACCATAAGGTAACACGACTCGAACTACTCTCCCATCAAAATATTTTTACAGTACACCATAAAATCATAAATTGAGATTTTATGGTTTTGTTGAATGCTCCAATAAAGGCATATTATTTATTGTAAAATCGTACTTCCATCGATCGTTCGTTTAGATTTTTTTACAATCCATTCCCTCCGAGTGACGAGGAAGATTTAGGTAATCGATTAATGCGTGATTGTGCTGGAATCGTGAGGTCTCATTAGTGGAGATGAGAAAAAAATTTAGCTCTTCGTTTGGTATTAATTGAGGAGAATTAGAGACTAGAATGACTAGACTATTATAAATTTTTTATGATAATGATGAAATGGCTTCATAAGCCGAATTCCTGCGTGAGTTGCTTTTATTAGATTCGAGTGCTCTCTTCTTTTTATACTAATGGATTTGAAGGTCACCGATGTTTCGGCTTCAAAAAATAATGAAAAATGAATATATAAAGAAATAAATAAAAAAGGTGGAGTGTTATCGGTCATAAAACCGTTTCCGGGGTTTCCGACATTCTCGAGTACATTATGACTGAATTAATTTCACTTTGAATCGCTATGAATTTTATTACATGAAATGAATAGTCAGCCGCACCTGTAAGATTTCGTGGGATAAGAATTGTAGGTGTGTCGTTTTTTAAAAGCCATGTTTATGTGAGAAAGCTGTTAAGTTATTTAATGTTTCGCCTGTTATTTTTTCACTTGGACTTGAACAGAAATACTTGAAAGTCACTTTATATTATTTGGATTAGCTCAGTAATAGATCTGGAACGAGGTGATGACTGTTACGGTTTCTTTTCTTGTTTTAATCCAGTCGCTTGAGAATTGCACATCGTTCTTGTGCTTCTCGTTGTTTTCGTCGATTTATCAGCTGCTTTCTTCTAATTCATAAAAATGAGGATTAATTATTTCATGACTAGAACGAGCTAGTGCAGAATAGGACACCTGCAGAAAACGTTTTTAACTCATTCTTAGTCCTTTTTTTCGCCAAAAAATGTTGGAGATGGTCTAAAAAAGTCCCAATGTTTTTTAAGAATTTAATTTTTTCTTTTGTTTATATACTGTTGGTTTTTTATTTTAAAAATTTTTCAACATTCTCAAAAATACGCGTTCTAATTTCAATACTTTCTGATTCCAATTTGTTGCTTGAAATTCTTTGCTTCTGATTGCGGAATTCCTTTTATCGAAATTTAACATTTGTTTATCAGTAAAGTGGAATAAAATTCTGGAAAAATTGAAATATTGGTTAACGGATTCTTATGATTAATTTTTTCCCCCTTGTCTCCTGATTCATTCCATTTTATCTAGTGTCCCATTTTGCCAGAGTTTCCCCTAGGAATGGAATATTACTTACATTTGTTGATTCACTAGATTTAAATTTGTGCCGACGTTTATTCTCATCCTTGGAAAGAGCAAGTTTGTTAAGCCACTCATCCCTTTCCGTCAGCCATATTCTCTGATATTCATTAGCCAGTAGTTGCTCAATGCATGGTTCTTCTCTGTAATTAAATGGAAGAAAATATTAACAAATGCTTTGTGATTTAAACTCAATAATTTTAATTATAATTGATTGCCTCTCGTAAGATGGTCTAAATTTTTTAGCTGTTGTGAATTCGGAGGATACAATACTATCTGGATGTTTCCCCGAAACCGTCGGTGTCCATGATTGAAATGAATTGCTTGTCATTACTCGCGGTGAAATGTAATTTATTTAGTAGTCATAACGTAAATATGTGAAGGATAAAAATGGAGAAAGTTTTTGGTAATTAAAAAACAGAACGAGGTGAATTTATCACGTGCTTTTGTTTATTTTTGTTGATGAAACGAATGAAGGATTGAGCGCTAGAATGGCTAATGTAATTTGTTCTTAATTTTGTAAGACACCCATGGTTAATTGTTTACAATTTTTTATGATTATACAAAGATAAACGGAGGGATTGACAGAGTAGAACATCGTTTCTTGCTGAAATAACTGGGAAATGACGTTAGATAGGGCAGAAAAGGTGAATAAAACAATTGTAAACTGTGGAATTATGTGAGCTGGGCTGAGAAAATTATTAATATTTTTATCTGTAAATTGTCCACTCACTGAGGTCGTTTTGAAAGTGAATCGAAAAACAAAAACGTTATGAGCACTTGGGGCTTGTAAGAGGTTGACAAGGGATTGCAAATTGTGTGAAAAAAAAATGATAGTTAAACCAGGAAAGATTATAAAAGCAAAATTCAATCAGCCAACCAACCAACCAACCAACCAACCAGATCAACCAATCAATCAACCAACCAGATCCACCAACCAACCAACCAACCAACCAACCAACCAACCAACCAACCAACCAACTAGATCAACCAATCAACCAACCAACCAACCAACCAACCAGATCAACCAATCAATCAACCAACTAACCAGATCAGCCAATCAATCAACCAACCAACCAACCAACCAACCAACCAGATCAACCAGATCAACCAACCAACCAACCAACCAGATCAACCAATCAATGAACCAACCAACCAACCAGATCAACCAATCAATCAACCAACCAACCAGATCAACCAATCAATCAAACAACCAACCAGATCAACCAATCAATCAACCAATCAACCAACCGACCGACAATTTTTGAAGCCCAGTGAATTACTTGTAGGTCACTGGGCGCTTCAATGTTGCTTTCCCACTTTAGCTCCCCTATCTCCTCGATTCCCCCCACTCTATCTCTATCTTTCCTACGCCGTTATCGACGCTCAGCCTCGTGCCCTACCTTACTCACGGGTAGAGCTTCTAATTTAGTTCCGCAACCGCCGCTCGGAGCCTTTGCTGTTGAACCTTTTCCATAAGCGTTGCTGATCTTCCCTGTAATCTCTGTACAGATATTTTCCATTCCATTAGTTGTGTATTTGTTATTGTTCCGTGATTATTTGCAAATAATCCCCATTCACATGGACTCTCCTCATTTTGACAATTAACTTGATCAAATGATTCATCACTAGTGACAGAAAGGGCCTAATAATGACAGATGTCGATAGTTTACGAGAAGCTATTGAACAGTATGAGACTCAGGTATTCATATTCATTCTCTGGATTCGCTTGCATCCCAAAACACAAAAATTCGTAATGGAAGATGTAGAAGACAATAAACTTTGATACTTGAGATAATCAATTAAATTTATCCATCATGTGCTTCAGCTGTCCCAAGTTCAACTGGCGTTATCAGGGACTCCAACAGGAACAGACAGAAATAATTTACTAAGTCTCCAGTCAGATATCCAGGAATTAATAGCCTTGACAAAAGAAAGTTTACGAAGTGCTGAGGGAAAGGAGACAAGTGATAATGAGGACGATGGGCTGTCCGACGACAGCCAGGATAATAATGATGATGATGATGATCCAATGGCAAAGGAATACGCTATATTCAAAGTAATTATTCATCTTGTTGAATGATCATGATTAGAGTAAGAGTAATAATCCAATTTCATAAATTATCAGGCAGAACTGCAGAAGAATGAATTAAACATCACCAATGATAATGGAAAAGCCGAAGCCCCAAGTAGTGACAATAATATTGATGTCAGTAAGCAAATATCACCTAACGCTTAGAAGAGAACAATTAATATCGTGCAAGTTAAATAATTGTAGGAAGAGCTCAAGGCACTCCAAGGTATGAAATGTAGGGCACCTTTTGGAAGCAGTTGGGGTAGTACGGGTTATCACAATGCTATGGTATCGTCAGTACTTGATAATAATGAACAAAGTACTATTAACAGTATTCACGACATTCAGGTGAGAATTTGAATTTTAATATTGTGAAGTATCAGAATTTAATCTGAATTATTATACCCTGCATTTCTCTTTAGGTCAGAGTTTTATTCATCAATCCAACTCACAAAGAAATGTTGCCGTGTGCATTTTATTTGGACGGGCAATGCAAATTCTCGGATGAAAAGTGTCATTATTCGCATGGAGAAAATGTTCCCTTTTCCAGTTTACAAGAGTACAGGTATAATTATTTTATTATTTATTGATAGGATGTACCAATAATCTAAACCAAACAAAACTTGTGGGAATTGCTCTATCTTTGCACATAGTATTATTATTTTTGCTAAAATAATAATAAATTAGCAATACTGAATGTTCATCTGCAATGCGAAATTGGAAATTCATTTATCATTGAAGTATTTTATTCTATTTTGTGTTAAAGTACTGTGAAAAAAATGGATTTTCGTGAACAGCTCAAATATTTAAAAAATTAATGAACGAATTTAATTCGAACTTTAATAATTGGTTTAATTTACTATGATAAAAGAGAAACCTAAATTCGATTGATTAAAATGTCTCCATTGGAGGGAAAATAGTTGTCTATATAGTTATATCATGATAAAATAGTAAAAATATTTTAGAGAGCCAGATTATTCTTCACTAAAAATGGGGAGTCGAGTATTGGCGAAAGAGAAAAACAAAATATGGCATAGATGTGTGATTTTGAAAACCCCATCGCAAGATGACGATGTCTATCGGGTGAAATTCGAGGCTAGTGGAAATATAATGGAAGTGACAGTCGCTGATATTCTACCACTAACTGACGACCAACTGGACATGTCCGACTCATCAGACGACGATGATGACTCGTGCCAAGCTTTCGAATCATCAAGAGATGATACACTATCAGAAGAGATAATTCATGAATCTTTACTGACTTTAAATCCTAACGAACGTTTGGGCAAATGGGAAGAGCATACGCGTGGTATTGGTAGCAAATTGATGCTTCAAATGGGGTACATATTAGGGACTGGTTTGGGAAAAAGAGGTAATGGGAGAGTCGAGCCTGTGGAAGCTACTGTACTACCACCAGGTAAATCACTTGATCATTGCATGAAACTCAAAGAAGAGGCAGCTGGAAACAAGAATTTATTCACTGTCGAACGAAAACTGAGAAAAGAAAAACAAAAGATTGATCGACAACTGGCGAAGCAATACGACAAGGAGAAAGAAAAGGAGAAGAATATTTTTGATTTTATCAATACTACACTCTCAGATAAACGTAATTAATCAATATTGTCTTATGGCATTGTTTTTTTTCGTACAATAGAGCAACTAAAACTTCATTGTATTGTTTTTTAGAAGTCGATGGCGGTGAACCTAGCAGTTCAAAAAATTCCAAAACCTCATTCAAGGCAGCAACTAATCGAGGATTGAATGTTGCCAATTTTCAAGTCAGCGAGAGCATCACGAAACTCGAGAGAGAGTCATCATTACTCCTGAATTCATTGAGAAAACATGCTAAAGGAACTATTCCTTATAATAATATTGTTATACAGTATAATGATAAACAAAATGAACTTATAAATTTACGATCCCAGCAGAAGAATATTGTCAGTGAGCAGACTCATAGGAAGGACAAGACAAAGTTATCAGTGTTTTGATGTTACATATACCCCGAAAATTTACTCATGTAAAGTATATTTATTCCCATTATTGTGTATTTTATCTGTGAGATAAATGAAGAGCGACAGAAATAATGGAGTTCATGTTTATTTTAACGAGTGAGTGAGTTTACAATGATCAAAAGATTGAATTTGAGAGAAACTCTTACTTTACAGGACACAAATCAGGTGAATGATGATAAATAAACGTAAGTGCAATGACTTACCAACTCTTGATGTAATCTACTGTTTGTTTTTATCATCTACACAAAACAATCATCATTACTTTGTTCACATCACGATACGATTTTGAAAATGAACAATCACATTGCATGCCTCTGATGCAGAATAATAATACAGTGAACGTAACCTGAAAATCAAAAGGAAAATCTGAGAAATGCTGCGGATGTCTAGGACGTCCCTCCAGGGTCTGAGCCCGAGGAGATGGCGAAATGCAGTAAAACTAAAAAGAAAATTGCATAAAATTCAGTCAGAGGAGAAAACAACGAAAGCCCCGAAGAGTTCTTTGGAAATAAGAAGAGAATTTCTGGATTACTTTTTGGATCTTGACCACAAGATCATCTCCTCGAGTCGTGTGACTCCGGTGTTCGATCCATCAGTGGCATTCACGAATGCAGGTATGAATCAATTCAAGGGGATATTCCTGGGGGACATGGAGCCTCCACATCCACGAGTTGTCAATCACCAGAAGTGCGTGAGAGTTGGGGGAAAGCACAATGACCTGAAGGCAGTGGGAATGGACAACTACCATCACACCTTCTTCGAGATGCTGGGGAATTGGTCGTTTGGGGATTATGGAAGAAGAGAGGCATGTGCTTATGCCTGGGGATTGCTGACAGGACCATTTGGAATTTCAAAGGAACGACTGTACGTTACGTATTTCTCCGGAGATCCATCCCTGGAGCTTCCCCCAGACCTGGAGACCAAGGAGACGTGGTTGTCCCTGGGGCTGAGTCCCTCCCAAATTGTGCCATCAGGCCTCCAGGATAATTTCTGGGAGATGTCGGTGACGGGACCCTGTGGTCCCTGCACTGAGATCCACATCAACACCTGTCAAAATCCCTCATCAAGTCGTTCTTCAGATCTTAAAGAACTCTGGAACCTCGTCTTCATCGAGCACCAGCGCCTCCAGGATACTACAGTTCAGCCCCTTGGGTGTCATCACGTGGACACTGGTATGGGTTTTGAGAGGCTAGTTGCAGTACTCCAGGGGAAGACCTCCAACTACGACACCGATCTCTTCGTACCGATCTTCGATGCCATCAGGAGGTCGTCGTCGGCTCCTCCCTATCAAGGAAAATTCGGTGACAGTGATCTGTCAGGACTGGACACGGGGTACAGAATCCTCGCTGATCACGCCAGGATGATCACCACGTGCATATCTGATGGAATGATCCCAGAGGAGAACCACAAATTGAGAAGAGTCATCAGGAAGTCGATAAACGTTGGAAGGGATGTCTTCAGGAGAGAGAAAATTCTCTCCGACGTGTGCTGTCAGGTCGCTGAGACCCTCGGAGAAATTTACCCAGACATCTCCAGGAATTTAAAACGAGTTCAGACAATTGTTGAGTATGAGGAGGACCTTCTGCAGGATCTGAAGAGCTGCTCGGGGAAGATCTGGGGAGAAATCGTAAAACAGAGGCCACAACTGGGGGCCATCAGTGATCCTTACGCCTCAGGCCTCGTTCTGGGGTACAAAGAACTCCAGAAGCGACTCCTGGAGGTCCCAGGGATGAAAAATATACCTGGAGATCTGGGGTTCAAGCTTTATGACACGTATGGACTGGATCCCGAGGTCATTGAGGAACTCGCTGAGGTCGAGGGGCTGGGATTCAATAGGAAAGAGTTCGAGGAGGTCATGGAGAAGGTCAGGAAGAATTCCAGGGCTGGAGCGAGGACTCAGGAATCCCTCGGGGAAACCGATGATCAGGGGAAGTACCAGTACTCGAGGGAGGACGAGGGGTATGTGTTCCAGGAGGTGCAGGCCAAGGTGGTGGGGATTTTGATCGATGGTGAGACGTTTTTCGAGAGGGGAATTCGTTTAAGGAATTCTTTCAGCTCATGCAATTTTTTACAGGTGAATTAATACCAGAGAAGACTCTCCATCTAGAGTCTTCATTAAAGAATAAACAAATTGGGATAATTCTGGATAAGACGTCGTTTTACACCCCAGAAGGTGGTCAACTCTCCGACAAGGGACGCCTCAGGATAAAAAATCTCGTCTTCAACGTGTCAGAGGCCCAGAAATTGCAGAATCACGTGATTCATTTGGGAAAGTTCGATCCATCGAATTACACTGATAAAATTAATAAATTATCAATTAATGACGACGTGAAGATATCTCTCGATGAAGTCCACAGGGTCTCGATGATGAGGCACCATACAGCCACTCATCTCCTCAATTCTGCCCTCAGAAAAATATTTCCAGCTATTTCTCAAAGGGGAAGTGTTGTTACTCGTGAAAATCTAGTGTTTCAGTTCAGTTCTTATGGGAAAATAATTTCTCCGGACGATGTGAAGTCGATCGAGAGGTTGATTAATAAATGTATCGGTGATGGAGTCCCTGTGAAGACTAGAATTGTTGATTCTATTGGATTTAACGGAGAGGAGGAGTTAATTCTAGTTCCTGGAGCGATTTATCCAGAGAAAAATCTGAGAATTGTGGAGATCGATGGGGAGCAGTTGAAGTCAAAGTGAGAAACATTATATATTGATTATTTAAACATTAATTAATGACTCGTTTATTTGTTTTTAGAGAGGCGTGTTGTGGAACGCACGTTCACAACACGAGTGATTTAAAATACTTTCGAATAATTGAAATAGCATCGAAAGGTTCGTCCTCTCGAGCAATAACTGCAGTGGCAGGTCCTGAGGCTCGAGATGCATCCTCGAAAATTCTATCAGATGTCCCTCCAGGAGACTCCAACGACCCCAACAAAAGACGAGAGATGGTCCTGGACTTTATGAAGAGTGAAATTAAATTTGCAGTTGAGAGCACAACTGAGAATTTCGTTGTGCACTGTCTTCCATCGGATTCAATCGAAGTTGAGAGCTTTCCCCTGCAGAAAGCGGGGGAATTATATCCAGAAAAACCGATTTTCATCATCGCAAAGGGAAAGAGGAAAGTCAGAGCTCGATGTTTCGTTCCAGAGGTAAAGACCATCGATCAATTAATTTAAATTATGAATCGAAGGGAGTTTTCATAATTTTCTTTCATTTTTCATTTCAGAATTTCGTCACTCAGACTTTCAACGCTGACTTGTGGATGAGATCAGTAAATAAAATTTTCAACTCAACTCTAGGTTCTTTCGACGACGAAAATCCGGTGTTGACTCGTCACACGAGAGTCTTGAAACTCCCGAAGGCAGAAATTCATTCTAGAGTTAAAAAATCAATCGAAGAGGCAAAGGAATTCGCACTGAAGAACTGCAGAAAACCGTAAGTGTGGAATCTCCTGACAAATACAAATAAAGTCATTATTTTTAATTCAATTTGTAAATAATCTATATTTATAAAATTATCTTCCACCGACAGAACACGGGTTTAAGTCAATACTTGGTTTTATTGATTAATAGTCATAAAATATTAATTATCTCCGTCATCTAATTCTTTTCTCGTTGATTTTCGACGTGATTCTCGTAGAAGAGCGTCAGGGCTCTCCATTGGGCAGTATGAAGGAGAATATGTTCCCTTTTACTCTTCATGTAGTCCACAGCCTCCGAAGGGGTCCATCCGTGCTTCTAAAATCGAAAACAAACGGAATTCTTGCCAATTTATCCTTCAAAAAACCATTGATTTTTATTTATAAACTATTTTTCACCTTCATGAGGTAGCACCCGACTAGAGTCGCACTTCTTGTCCTTCCGGCTTTGCAGTGGACGTAGACAGTACCAGATAATCTATTATGTCCATCATTTACATGAGAAAGAGTTCCTTTGAACTGATTTATGAAATTAACACCTTTCTGGAGTTTATCTTGACACGGGGTCTCGAAGATGTCAGTTGTTGATAGCTGAAGAAATTTTATTCCATGGCGCGACCATTCCTGAATAGAATATCAATGCATTGGCGAGTAATTTTTCAAAATACAAATTCTTTAGAATTTTCAAATCTTTTTCGCTGGACGTATCCCTTTTCATCCATTCACTCCACGAAATAATTCCATACCGAAAATTATCAACAAATATTTTTTCAACAATAATTTACCTCTCGAGTATTCGAGAACAATTTTAATTCGTAATTCTCGTTCATTGAAACGACTGCAGTCACATTTTCGTCAGTAATTAACTGTAAGAAAAATCGTTTTTATTATGTACTGGTTTATTTAATTGTTATTATGAAGAATATTATGAATTCTCTCACTTTTTCCGTCATACTCCTGAAGGGGAGAGCACCGAGGATAACAGTCTCGTCGATTCTGTCGTACCACCGTCTCGACGTAATTTTTTCCATCATCATGTTGTAGAATAATGTTGGGATAAATGTTGCTCTCGCAAACATACTCGCTAAAATAATAATAACACCGATAAATAACAAATTAACTAGAGAATTTGGTACGGATAAAGTGAGGGGATATAATGGGAATTCAGTCCAGTGAGTTTGAACTCTCGAAACTCAGTGAGAGAAAGTCTCAGGAAGTCGAGAGGTGGTGGAGAGATGAAGAGGTGGAAGCCATCGAGCCCGTGGTGGGGGAAAAGGTGAATATTTTTTATAATCTCCCAAAGTATTTCGATAGGATATAAAATGATCTATTGCAATTGCTCCAGAGATAAATCAACTGATAAAATTATTGGATTTAATATCTGGAATAATTGCAATAATTGCAATAATTCCCAGGACGACAAATATTTTCACTTCATGTGAATTTATTTTCAAAAAATTGTACATTAAATTACTCTATATTTACAATAATCCAAAATTCTGGAGTTCACGTATGAAATATCTCTGAAACATTTACAGCTGTCAAAATATTTCACCCTTCCACCCCTCCCCCTTCGACGATATCATTATCAAGACAGACACCCCCCAGCTCCCCAGTCCTGAAAACCCTGAGGAAGTGCTCAGCAGCGAAATTAAAATCAGGTCTGACAATGAGCTGTCCATCGAATCGCTTGATCTTCTTGCTCTTTCCCATCTTGACAGCGGAAATCGTCAGCAGCTGAAGAATATCATCTGTTGGGGCCTGAAGCCCCAGTTTCTCCACATAATCAAATCTCTGATTTTTATTCAACCAAAATAGAAGATAGTCTGCGATGACCTGGGGCCCCACGAGGTGATCCTGGAGGCATCCCACGAGAGCTAGTTTCAATCCAGATATTACGTCCCTGATGTAGGGGGCAAGGATTCCTGGAGTGTCCAGAACGTACACCGGGGGCTTCTCAGATACTTTTATTTTAGTTAAAACTGATCTGGTGATTCCTGCAACACCTCCCACTGCTGTGGCATTTCCCTTCTTCAGGTGTTTATTTCTGAGACGATTTATCAGGGAGGATTTACCCACGTTGGGAACTCCTATCACCATCGCTGCGTAATCCTGACAATATTAATGACTCCAATAATTCCAGAGGAATTACGACAATTGATAATGAAATTAATGATAATTACCTGTTCACCAGTTCGATTGTACCTCTGGGAGTTTTCAATTAGTTTGAGAGCTGTTGGGAGGATTGAGTGCATTCCCTTGCACTGCTGGTCCTTGAAATTTGTCCAGATGACGTTGTTGATGCCCTCGGACTTCAATCTCTCCTCGAAATGTCTCGCTCTCGATAAATCCGTGAGATCTTTCTTGTTGAGAACGAATATGTGGGGCTTTAAGCCACTGACTGTATTACGAAATTGCTCATAACGACCTGAGAGTGGCACCCTGGCGTCGTGAACCTCGATGATGATGTCCACTGCTTTGAGCTTCTGCTGCATCTGACGGAGACCTTTGTGCATGTGACCTGGGAACCACTGGAGGGAGTCTCGAGGGGGAACTGAAAACACCTGACGAAATTGGGGGAGTACTTTACCTCCTAGGGATGACATCGCTGCCCTGGGGACGATTCTGAAAAGACATCAAGATCTGGAATGAATTCTCCGGATTTTTAGTAATTATTTCTCAGGTAATTCACATAATTTTTATGTGAAAAACAAAATAATCATTCCATAACCAAAGAATTATTTTCTCTCAATGAATTTTTACGATTTCTGTATAAAAATTATCAATTTAAGACTCTCACCGGTTGTTTTATTAGTTGTATCAATTGTTCATTGACGATTTATTTATTTTTATTCAATTGATGATGTACTGAGTCTTGAGAATTCAAGGAATTTTATTTATTTATTCTTTCTAGTTCACTAGGGGAAGGAGATCTAGTCGATAACCACGTGGTGCCTGTAGGTAAGTCAGAATTATCTTCTCTCCTTCATAGAATTGAATTTTTTCATTTCTCCATGTGTCAGGGATAAATAAAGTACACCAAATAAATTACGAAATAAATTGTTCTATTAATCACGTAATCTGGTAACTTCCAACAATTCTTCACAACCATTTATCAAAATACAAACTCGTCTAAGGCACTAATTAAACATTCTCCCGCAGAACTCAGTCGTATTCTCTCTCCTTAATCTCCCTGAAATCTTTTCGCCTGACTCTCACCCCCTTCCTCCCTCTGCCTCTTTCTGGTGATCCCCACGTCCCCCACAACATCCATCTCCCCCCCGAAATTTCCCAATTTCTCCCTAGGAATTTTGATTTTAATGGGCGATACAAAACCTCTTTCTCTCTCCTGTTCTCTACGTCTCCTCTCCTTTCTCTCCCTTCTCTCCATTTTCCTCTCCTTTTTATGCTTCTCCTTTTTCCTCCTCTTCTTGTCGTCCCTCAAGACATCGTCCCTCCTCTCCAACCCTTGGAGATGACTGGAATCACCACCTGGTGCATCAACTCCCCCTGGAGTCTGAAATATCGAGGCAAAAGACTCGTCCCCTGGAATTTCCTCGAACCTCTGGACATTTTGACTCAGAGATTGACTCAGTGGCTGAGAGAATACCCCCGAGTCAATGGAATCCACTCCTGAGGGGATGGCGGGCACCTCCTGGTGAGCTCCACCCTCGACATCTGATTTGTGACCCCTGGGGGGATCCGGGTTTGTTATGGACGTGAGGCTCTCCACAACATTCATGAAAATGTGTTCGAAGTCGAAATTCTCTGGAGGTGCCATTTCGAGGAGGTCATCGGGGACCTCGAGGCTCGGTTGATCCTCTACAGAAATCCCTGGAGACATCGAGCTGAGAATTTTTTCTACGGAATTCTCGTGATTCTGAGGAAACTCCTGAGCAATTCTGGGAGGTTCAAGGTAATTCACACCAGGTGATTGCCTTTTCCGGTGTTCCAGGTGGTGGTGCCTGTGGTGATGATGGTGGAGGTGTCCTGGAGGGGATCCTGTATTTTTCGAGAAGTTCTGGGGCTTCTGATGAGTTTTTTGAGCATTTGAGTGGCTTTGAGGGGCTTTTCCTGGGGTGAGGAACTTCTCCTGGTGGTGGAGATGTTCGGCAGACGCCGGGAGGGTCTTGTGGTTGTTGTGGAGGCTTCCAGCTGGTTTTTGAGGGAGCTGAGGGGGTGGCAGAGCTGGGGGACGGTGGAAACTCTGAGGATGGGGTTGATGTCGCCCTTTTGGGAATTTTTCAAGGACTGGGCTATTCTCTGGATGACAGACCTCTCGCCAGGGCGAGTTCGAGGGACTCGGGTGAGGCGTTACTGGGCTGTCCTTGTAGAAGATGGACATTATCTTCTCCTGGAGGCGGGGGTAGTACCCACCGACGTTGTGACGAAATTTGGCGATCAGGTGGTTTATGAACTCCTGAGTCAGGCTCTCGTCCACGTGGTGAAACCAGGGCCTCTCATCCTTCGGCGGAGGAATCTAAAGAAATCAATTGCTAATTAATCATTCAATTATTTTCATGTAGCGTATGGATTAAGGAATAATTAATCAATATTAATTATATGAATTCCTGGAATCCCTCACCTCCCAATTCGCCCATTGGCATGCCAATTGCAGACAGAAACAGGCAACAGCTGTTGGTCTATACTGCAGGCACATCGTGGTGAACTCCAAACTAATATCAAATAAATCAAAAGCAAGAATAAAAATGAATAACAAATAAATTGCAGGATTGTCGACAAATTAACTGTAAATAATAGGCAAGTGACGAGGATTTTTGTTATTTTCCCATGAACTTGACAGCTTTCACTTTTTGTTATGGAAGATTTACCTGAAGAGACCCCAGAATAGAAAATAATTTCATTAACAATTGTATCAATTATCGATGACTTACGACTTTATTCGTGTCTGATTTTTCAAAAAAGTAGATAATTATTTCTAATTAATCACCTGCTCGATGCAATGTCGTGCGCAACCTTGGTTAAAGCCTTGGTCGCTGTAAATACATTCATCTCGATAAATAATCTAGCGAAAATCATTTGTGGAGAATAAATCAGCAGCGAAGTGGTATTATTCCGCGAATATCTCTGGAGGGAGTTATTCCCCTAGTATTTTATCCCCTTACAGAGTAAAAATGTAACATTTTCCAATCAATCATCATCATCATAATTAATAACTCATTCTCTCAAATAAATCTCGATAAAATCATGAGATGGGAAATTAAAAACTGTCACGTTCTCTTTCTTTAAGAGGATAATACGAATATTACTGATGATTAACAGGTCCTGTGTAAAAATACTGAGAAATTTGAATGCATTCTCTCCTATACCCAAAGATATTCCCTATTTACCTCTTCCCAGCCAACGAACTGGATAATAAACAATTTAATTACCAGTGACTAAATGAGAATTCTTCAAAATGTGAGTGTGTGCATGATCAATGTCAAAATCAAAGGCCAGTGTTGCAAGCAGGACATACTCATAAAACAGCAAGTCCTCTAATTGCTTCTCGTATTGCTACAAAAATTCTCCAACTATTTTTTCACAATTTTTCACCAAACGGGAGTGGAAAAAATCACAAAACTCTTATAAATAATTATGTATCATCTACAAAGTCGTAACAATTTGAAAGGCATTATAAATTATAATCAATTAATGAATTGATTGACTGATTGGCTTACAGGAGAGTGGGGATCGAGGGGTGCTGCATCTCTGTAGAGACAGGAGTGAGCAGTTTTAAGAAATACCACAGGATGAATCCTTCCATCTTCCTCCTTAAAGGATTTAGCAACGCAAAATAGAACAGCCAGAGACAAGACATTTCTGTCGAAACGAGTGAACGATTGGTACATGAAGAATCTCTGCATGAGGACAACTGCGGTATTTATCCAGAGCTGTGGTCTGTTAATTATTTTCATTAAGGAAAATCCTTAACCCTTTAACCAATTTAACTGTTCAATTAATCCAGACATTTATTTTTAACAAATATCTGGATCTCCAGAGATTGAATTCTGGAGATTTCAATTGCAAGACCAATTATAGGTTAATTAATATCCTAACCTCTGCACCTATCCCCTACCCTCTTGGTGATCAATAGGAATAATGGGGTGATTGATGATTAGTGGAAAGGATACAGAGAGAGTTTTTGTCCCACGTGTCGAATAAAATTAGCAGCTTGACGTCTGTAACTTGATTCTCTTTCTGGTTCCATGCCACCTCTTCTGGACGGTGTGTCCAACAATTGTTCCCTCGTAAATACCCATCTTGTCCTCCTCTCCATTTAAATTACACAGGTACTAATTGATTAATGTTTATTGCCTCCCACATCGAACTCTGGATTTTAGTCGATTATTATTTATCCGGGGTTATTGTTTAAACAGACACTTGGAGATTTTTGAAAGATGACTTTGAGGGGAACCACGCTGCATTTTTCACAATGTTGCCAGCTGATTGTCACCACCTGATAGGAGAAGGTATTCCTGGAATTCCGGGATTTTTACATTTTTATCATCAATAAATTAATTATTCTACGATTAATTAATTTATTTTTATTAATTAAAAAATTCTGTCATGGGATAAACGAGTCGATAGTTTTAATTATTGGAAAGAATATTTAGATGAAGTGGAATTAGAAAGTTTTAAATTGAAATTTTGAAGCGGCAACGTTGGATTCTGGGGATTTTACGGATTTTATAGGGAGTCTAGGGGATTTTTGGGGGATACATTGGCAGAGGGATTCCATTCGCCTCATGAAGTTTCCAGAAAATTGCTGTTGAATGATTTTGCACCTCGCGCGATCCAGAAACGCTGAGAAAGTATTTACTGAAGGGTTTGACTTTATTAATCCCTAGGAAGCCACCATTTCTCCAGATCTCTGTTGATTTCATCGAGGAGTTGAGAGAACAAAACCCTTTCCTGTTTTTCACAGAGAAAATCATCGGATCCAGGAGGTCTCCTGCGGTTTTTGAGGACGACTAGTGAATTGGGTGAGTCTCTCACTTAAAAAAATAGATTTTTGTATTTTTCTGGATTTAATCCACGTGGACAATCAATTTTTCGGGCACTGGGGGTTAGAGGCTCCACAATTCAGTGGTTTTGAGTCACTTCCTGAGGATTTCTCAGGATTATATCCACCATTTGTTGACAGTGGCCCTGAAGTCACGTGGAGGCCAATGCCATAATTAATTATTCCACTTTTTGGACTTGATTTTTTTCAGAAAATGGCAAAGTGGGGCGAGGGTGATCCACGATGGATTGTTGAGGAGAGACCTGATGCCACTAACGTCAATAATTGGCACTGGACAGAAAAAAATGCCTGTGCCTGGTCCAAGGAGAAGATCAAGGAGTTGTTCAAGAACTTCAAAATCGAGGGAGACGAAATGAGTGCAAAAATAACTGACATAGAGACGTGTGACGGTGAGGCAGTAGTCAATAACAGAAAGGGAAAGTTGATATTTTTTTACGAGTGGAATTTAGTCCTGAAGTGGGTATTTTCGAAGGATAAGACAATCGAGGGAAAGATCAACATTCCGAATCTTTCTGAGGAGAATGATATCTCTGAAGTCGACATTGAGATCACTCTGAAGTCAAGTACTGACGAGGGTGAGGCAGTCAAGCATTTCTTGCATACTAAAGGAAAGGAATTCATCCGAGAACGGCTAAAAGAATACGTTGCAGCTCTTAAGCAAGAATTTACCAAGGGGATGATTCTCCCCAAGAAGGACGAGAATCAAGCAATAACGAAAAACTGCAAGACAGCGATTAACGTTAAAGCACAAATGAATGCCACTGTAGTATCAAATAACAAAACCCCTGGGTATAAAATTTCAACGACAACTGTCAAGCAGCAGCAGAAATTTCAGTGTCGAGCCCCAGAGTTTTTCAATGTTTTAACAACTACGGAAATGGTTCAAGCATTTACGAAAGGACCTGTAAGACTCGAACCAACGAAAAATGGAAAATTCGAACTCTTTGGAGGAAATATTCATGGAGAATTCGTGGAATTATCACCAACGAAAATTGTACAGAAGTGGAGATGTAAACAATGGCCTGAGGGACATTTTAGCGAAGTTGTACTTGATATTAATGAGAAATCGGATCATACTGAGGTTGTTCTCACTCACACTGGAGTTCCTTCCAGGTAATTCATTTTTTGACCATTTTTTTACCATTTTTTTTACCATTTTTTTACCATTTTGTTGACTCCAGTTTAAACGTTTTTGCATCAGTTATTATTAGATTATGATCGTTTGTTTCTGATTATTTAATTACAGTGAGGAAGATTCGACTAAAGAAAATTGGGACAGATACTATTGGGACGCCATAAAACGAACCTTCGGCTTCGGTTACTTCATGTGATCTCAATTCTCTCTACACCGTATTTATTTATTGATAAGTAGCACGATGGGATAACTCAACACAAAATTACAGAAAATAAAAATGAGGTACAGATCGAACCATATGTCTTCAAACAGTAATGAAGTGGTGAAATGAATTAAATTCCATAATCTCGTCGAATTTACCTAGACGAGTGGCTCTCCGAGAAAATTTATCAATAATTTTCCCACGACTCGTCATTGAGATTATTCAGTGTTTTGAGATGTTTCGTCACTTCCCCCATACACCGACCACTGCTTTATCGATTAACCAGGATCGATTGATAATTGGTTATGGCCAATTGAGGAATTTCAGCAATGTTGATTACAATCAGGCTCGGAGGAGAGTTGTATACATGAATTTAGTTTCAATTGTCATGAATAAATGATGATGAAATCTATCAGGTATTTTATTACCGCAAAATTTCCTTAAACAATTCCAACGATTAAACAACTATATGCTATATTTATTTCATTTTTCAACGAATAGGGAACGACAAACCGACGTTAATTAATAATTGGCTCCAATTAGAAATCAATCATTTCACTTAATTAATTACATTTCTTCGTGGATGCAGTGGGACGGATTAGGATTAGGATCGGTAATTATGTGAGTAATTATTTTTATTTAAGGGATGGGCTCAACGAAGTGGTAAAGATTACTGCTCTTATCTTTTCGTCCAGAGGGACACTCAAATCTATTAGGCAATCTCTTATTCTCGTCAAGCCGATTAAAAATATCATAGAACTATTTAAGCCCCCATTTTAGTCCCTAAAAACCGGGATAATGGAGGGATTTAATAAAATGCCGAGTGATATCGCTGCGACGTGGAAATAATGTCGAAAATATTACCATGGGAATGGGGTAAAAATTGCGTTATAAAACGGGTGTGTCATGTCGTGAAAAGTTTATTATCTAATTTACCCGAAAGTCCGTGCTATTTTTAAATTTACAGTAATTTTTCCATTAACAAAATAATTTGGGGAGAATTTTAAATTGAGACGATTTTAAATCAGTTAAATCCGGGAATTAAAAAGACATGTTCGTTTTGTTTTTTTATGATCATTTTATTATATCAGTACAGAGGGGTGCATTTGGATAAATTCCGGTGGTAATTTTCGTTATTTTAGATTCTAGAGGTTCGGTAAAGACTTATGTACCGAGTGTAATTGTGTACCGAGTACTTGCGATAAGTATATTATGACAAATACGTGAAACTTTATTAAATCCAGAGCTCGGGAATGTAGATAATTAACAAATGCATTTTTGCGCTGAGGGCAGTCCCTTCCACTTCACCCCCTCATTCTCTCCCCTTCAACAATTCCAATTGTGCAAGTCGCTTCTCGGAACTCACTCAGCAAGAATTGACTTCAAAGAGGGAAAAAATGTGGTGTAACACACTCTCATTGCGCTTGAAAAGCCGTGTCCAGCCTGATTCACTCCTCGTTCTACATTTTTCCATCGAAGGAGAAAAGGGATACGTTTATTAATACCGCATATCGCATTGTATTCCACACAAGTGCGGAAAATTGGAATTTCACTCACCGAATATGCACAAGTCTCCATCATCGAGTACCCTACCTACCTTCTCATTGATAAACGAGCACTTTTCCAACGAGTGCCGAATGTTTTACACCCTTGCGTGCGGTAAATGGACTTTACTGCACGTAGAAAAAGGCAGAGTGCAGAAAGAACTGAAAAAAAAAATGGGAAAAAATTGGAAAAATTGAAGGAAAATCCCGAAAAAATGATTTTCATGGAAAATTCCATCCCCTCCCTTCGGAATTGAAAGGACCAACGTCCTGACGGGCGTGTGCCACTATTCTCGCGGGTCATGAATGGGCAGTGCCAAGGCGTCAAGCGTACAACGAACGGGGACAACCCCACCACCCACTCACCACCCCCCTCCTCCTCGCCCCCCCACCGCTAATCTCCAATCCACCCACACCACAGTGTGGAAAAACCAAGAAGAGCGGGGAGTTTAATCCTGCGCGCGCGCGTAACTTCGAAAATCAAAATCAATGTAGTCGGCTCGTGCGTTTCTCTCGGATTGCCCACGCCCTAGTCCTCTCCGGTCCTTCACAACACACGGTGCATAACCCGGAGGTGAGATACCACCCACCGTCGATATCAACCCCAATCATCCCCCAAACATTCAACCCCCAGGAGAAAAAAAAAAAGTTAAAAAAAATTTTTTTTCAATTGAAAAAATCGACAAATTACTCCAGATGAAGAATAAAGTGCGGATGAGGGGGTGAAACCGTTAGGGGTGGACTCTGTAATATATATATGTATATTTCTCTCACTCGTACGGAGTGGGAAAATTTTCCGGTGAAAAACAAACCCCCCCGAGTGTCGCCAAACATTACCCAGCGTGGCAGCAGTGTCGTGAGGGGTAGGGGATTGAGGGTAGAAAAAAAAAATATATATAATCGTGAAATTTGAGACAGTTTGCGCATATTCCTCTCCCCCCTCTATGAAACTAGTAACCGCACCCTCGTGATAAGTGTTAGGGGTTATCTAGTCGGTGGTAGGATGGGTGGGGGTTATTTTTCCCAGTTTTTGGGGTACATCGGGGTGGAAGATGAGCGCCAGGCGTTCGTCAGGCAGGACGTATTTTTATAATCATTGAATAATAACGAAATTTTTATTTATTCGGAAAAAAATAAATATCACCGAACAATTTGTGGACAATTATCCGGTGCAATGTGATCCGAGTGGGGATGATAAATCAGTGGATTGTTTTTCTTTTTATTTTTTTCTGTGAGTTTTATTTTTTATGATGATGTACGGGATCAGCCCTCACCCTGGACTCTTTCGGAACGAGAGACCATCACTTTAACGAGAGATGTAAAGTAGATTGTCGTTGAAACGTGTACGTGTGTGTGTTAAACATCCCCTAGCGTTTTTTTTTTTTTTTTCAATAATTTGAGTCGCGGATCGATGGATCTTTGTTGTCATTTTTTTAAATCTTCTAAGTAATTGTCTGTGTAATTTTTTATCTGTTTATTTGATATGTGTGCGTGCATTCAATTGTCCTGCGCTTCTGTGTACATTATCACTTAATCCCCCTTTTCATTTTGGTGTGTAAGGGGATTATTTTTTCATTTTCGTACTGACGGGGTGGGGGATTTTTGTCGTCGGGCTGAGATATTTTTAGTGCAATGGGGATTTTTAGCGGGGAGATGCCCTGCCGCCATCGACGACCACCCGGACGACGTAGAGGCTACAACGGGGTGCTACTGAGGGGATTCACATTACCTTACCCTTTTAGCAAGATATACAGTAAGGCCTGTTTAGTCTTTCCGTTTTTTTTTTCTTTTATCGTGATTTCTGCGGGGATGACTCTCACGATCCTCGTCGACCTCCCGGTGATTCACTTCATCCTACACCCCAATTAATTCTTACCGCTCTTTTTCATTTCTTCATGCATGACTAGTTCTAGAATTTATCTATTCCCGATCCATCACCACCCCCTCATTCCACCCTTTCTAGAGTCACAATCAACAACCCCTCCTTAAAATAATTTCTAGTCAACCGATAATATTTATTTATCATCGTTTTTACGTGTGTTTTATTTAAGGGTTGATTCTCAGTGAAGGGTGGAAAGGTGTTGATTTTTATTTTTCATAACGTTCTGATGAATCCCAATTTTTGAAAGCCAGCGGGAAGGCAAGGGTCACAGATCGTATTATCAATTTCAATTTTCGCATGTTATCAGAGCTGTCAAGTGGTGCATGTAAAAAAGGGGTGGCAGGGGGTGAAAAGGGGTGGAGAGGGTGAAAGGGGTGGAAGAAGTGGATGGAGTGAAAGGGGTGGAAGAAGTGGAAGGAGCGAAAGGGTTGGAAGAGATGGAAGAGGTGGAAGGGGTGAAAGGGGTGGAAGGAGTGGAAGGGGTGGAAGGGGTGGAAGGGGTGGAAGGGGATTTGATAACAGCGGAAAGTTCGGAAAAACTCTGACTTAAACGTCTTTCCACACGTCAACCCATTCTGAAATTAAATTCCGTAAAATCGTTCTCTCCGGGTTCTCAACCCCAAATTTTCCACTGTTGAATTTGCTGGAGGTACGGTGAGGGTGAAATCGGAAATTTCCCCGGCTATATCGAATGCAATTGGTTTTGAGGCCGCGGAGAACCAGGGGGTGGAGGTAATTAAGGTTTTGTCAGGTATTCCATTGGTTCCCAGAAATTTCGGCTGTTAGAGCCGCCGATTAATTAGCGTTTTCCATTACACTGTTGGTTAATTAATTGAATTGTTGAAAAACACATGCCCATTTTAAAATCAATATTTGAGATTAATTGGGCAGTTGATATAATTAATGATAATTGCACATGAGGAAAACTCAAAATATTCAATAGCGAATTAAATATTCTCATAGCACTAAATATTCTCGGAAAATTAGACATAAAATCTAATTAGAGTAATTACCGCTGATAATTTATTATTTTTATTTGACTTCTCGTTAGTTTTTTTTTTTTAATCGAGGAAAATCGGAATTCAGTTGGGGATGGATTAAGATGATTAATCAATTGGTCTAGAATTATTAAAAAATATTCTCACAGTAATATGGAGTTTGAAAAAAATAGAAGAGGTAAACTGTTGCATTTGCGTGGGTGTACATGGAAATAGATCAAGAGCAGCCGATAGGCTCCAGGATACGGAGAGAAAAATAATAATCCACACGAAACGACTGAGATAAATTAAGTAAAACGTGAAACAAGAAATGGAGGGAATTGAAACAATTATTTACAACTAACGTGTGGCTAATTACGATAATCAGGAGTAATTAAGTCGTGGGATTACTGAAGCAGAGACACTCAATTCTGATCACTCCAAACGATAAATAATTTATCCCAGTCGATTCTCAAGTTTTTATTTCACAAATCGATGGATTAATCCCGTAAATTCAAGTAATTAACTAGTAATGAATGAATAAATAAATAAATAAATAAATAAATAAATAAATAAATAAATAAATAAGTAAAATAAATCAATGAAAATAGTAAAGGATTTAAGTTTAAAATGATGAGCGTCAGTCCATTTTATTATCAGTCACTAATTATTTATTTTATTTATTTATTTTAATAAACAATTATAGTGTGCGGGGACGTGTTGCCAAGCGAAATAATTATGTCGACACATAAAAAAGAGTATACGTGTCAAAATGTATAAATACTAAAGGCTTTTTTGTTATTAATCACACATCATGCACGAGATAATTTTCTCACTGTATTAGTCACCCCATCGGGTGGTCTATTATTTTCCCTCACGTATTTTTCTCATTTTCATGATGGAGAATACCTTTAACGTCGTGATTATACTCTACGATGTTGTCTATATTTCATTCTGACGTTAACAACGATAATTCTTATAGTTTCACGGGAATTTCCGCGCTGGGGTATTCAACATTTATTGGGTTTTTACGTTTATGTGGATAATTATTATCTCCTGGGATGGGATGTTCAATAGAATTATCACTTCACGGCAATTCTTACTGATTATCCAGTTATCAAAAAATAAAATAAATATTCATCACGGAATATCGTGATTTTCCCTCGAAATGCGCGTTCAAATCGTCATTATTCTCAGGAAAATTCTTTTCGTATTTTCCCGCTGTTTATTTATCGATAATTAGCACTCGCTATTTGTACAAATAATTCCTCGTACCTCGGGATAAATTGGGGTTCAGTGCGGTGAGGATAACGAGAAAATATCGAGAAAACTGGGGAATCAAAGGGCAACTGTCACAGGCTCTCGATTAATATATTTTTTTTTCTTTGTCCTGGAGAATTTTTGATGAATATTCGCAGAACCCCCGGGGGATTGAAAAATCGGGGTGGATTTAACAAGCAGGGCAATTTTCAATTAACACTTGTTTTCACACATTTTACTAAATCCCAACTTCTTTAAGGACCGGTTGGATTATCTGGAAAAGATAATTTACTCTAAAATTGGGATTCTTAATTACTCTGGCAATTAATCGTTTTTTTTTCAATAATTGTTAGCTAGCGTTCTAGTCGTTGACAACCGCTAGCTAACAATTATCGGAAAAAACAATGAATTGGCGGAGTAATTAGGAATTCCAATTTTGGAGTAAATTATCTTTCCGAGATACTCCATCCGGCCCTTAAACAAATATTTCCCCTCAAATGTTGATCTCAATACATTTATTTATTGAATTCAACACTAAAATATCTTTTAACAAATGAATTATATGTTTCTGTTTCAATTAATTCGTTCAACAAATTATGATTTTTAGAGTAATTTAAGTAATAGATAAAGGTTGGCGAATTTCAAAGATAAAATCTGAGAAACAATTAAAATGAGGGAGTGAGAGTATTTTTAATTGTGGAAAGAATATTAATGGTATATATTTAATGAATTTTCAGGTAGAGAGCACAAGCTGCTGGTTTAACGTCCTAGCCCTGTCGTTGTCCCATCAACGCAACATGCATTACGGTGCACCTGGTGCAACCACATCAAGAGGAACCGCATGCCCAGCGATTCTACCACTTCGCCGTCAGTCTCTGACCCTGCCATGTCCAATAACAGGATTGCACCGCTGCTGAGTAAGTAGATAAATTAACAATTTTCCTCTACCCCTCCATCCATTGGTGATAAAAAAAAATAGGCTAAAATAAATAAACAAACTAACAAAACAAAACTCGTTAACTCAATTCCCAGTGGATGTGTCCATGCATTCAGGACACTGAAAAAAATAAACGCTGAGTAGAATTTTGATTAAATTCCAGTGGAAAAATTTCAGGAAAATATTGGGGAATCGACAGAATTGATAGATTGCGGTGGATTTTATATATATTTTTTGTTGTTTCTTTTAATCTGGTACTTGATAATAAAAAATGACAGTTACAGAGGTAGAAACAATTACGTGACAATCACTAGTTGGTGACACGCAAGGACACGTCACGGAGACTGGGAAAATGAGGGAGGACGAAGGAGTTTTCCGATGGTGTGATGTAACTCGGGGAAAATATTTTGGTTTTACGAGGTGGAATTGATTTCTTTAAGGGATGATTTTGACAGGCTGAGGATTTTAGCGTGCGACAAGTCCTTGAGATATAATTATTTCCCTCCGGTTGACCCCTCGGGTCAATCCCAGGGGTTAATTATGTCAGGAATATCACAGGCTAAATTGTGGGTCAAATATCGCGCGTGACGGGTCTAATTTATTTATTTATTACGGGTCAATCCCCAAACATCAACTAATAAATCATCTCTCCGGTTAAAATTTCCCTATCCGACACGAAAAAAAAAATAAATAGGTCAACTCCCAACCCCTGGAGCATCCGTATCTCGTCTCCACCCCCAAAAAAATAAAAAACTTATCGCGCACCTCCAAACTTCCAAAAATCAGTTGAACCGCGAATTTTATTATTTCCCCGCGATTCAGAACTATCACTATTTTCCCAGAATCATGGAGGATCCGATGGGGTGTGTGGCGAGGGGGGATAGGGGAGGGGGTTGAGGATTGAGGGGTGGAACTATATCGAGTGATGCACACAAGTCGCGGTGAAAAATAATAGTGAAAGAAAAAGGAAAAAAGGAGAAATGGGTGTGGGGATGATCTAGGGTGGGATCGAGTACTGTCAATGTATACTCTTCATGGGGTGGGGTAATGAGGGGTGAGGGGGTGAATTGAGGGGGGTAAATGTGTGACACGCGTGCGTACATTATCCCTGGGTATCGGGATAGCCCTCGTGCACTTGAATCGTTCAGTCACTCAAGATATTTCTTGCCACTCGCATTATTCAATGGCCAAGCGAGCGTGCAAGTCATCGTTTGTGTAATAATCGGTTAACTGGGTTGGCATTATTTTTCCGGGAGAACTAGGTACACAGGGAATAGAAAAATTAATAACAATAATAATTCACAGGGTTCTTTTTTTATGTTGGTGTGAAATTAGTCGTCTGATTAATCATGGGCGTTACTACTCGTCTTCAGTCTCTCCCAATGATTTTTCATTATTTTTCATTATTTTTCATTATTTTTTGTTCACGGGAAATTTAGGATGGAATTATTATTAATTAATTCATGGGCATTCGAAATTTAGCGGATTTTCAATGAATTTTGGTATTTTTTTATATGAAATTCCGGGAATTGTTGATTCGTAGCGAATTGATAAAGCTACGAGATTATGATCTTTAATTAATTACAACTGAATATGTGAATTAATCAATTATTTAATGAGTATACCTAATTAATTATCTGATGAGAATAATTTTGATGGAAATTCTAATATCAAATGGTGTTTTTGAGAGAATTTAGAGAGCGTCGAGTGAAAATTATTTTGAAATTTGAATTTTTTAATGAACAAATGTTTCGTAGAATCAACTCTAACCGTTAATCTCTGTAAAATTTCAGATTCAATGATATCAAACAACACTACAAACACCGTGGGATGTAGTTGACGTTGCTGATCACGGTTCGAGTGCAGTTGCAGGGATCTAGAGGAGGTGGCGGTGGGAATAGGTTCAGGATAGGGCTGAGCAAGTCAAAAAAGAAAAAAAAAAACAAAGTGCCAGGAGAAATAAGAGAGAACAGAGTAAACTAAATAAACAAAGAAAAAATAAATAAATAAAACAAAGGAGAAATAAATCATCAGATTTGAGGTGTCGTTGAAGTGCCAGAACAACCAACAGCCACGAGAATACAAAGATAATCACAAATCAGCGATTAACAGTGAAATAATCCGATAATAATTGAACAGATTGAGCTGTTGATTGATACCAGATTGAGGTGTTATTGTTGGGGGAGGGGCTGTTTTTTGTTGATTAAACGTCATTTCAAACGAAATGAACGTAACTGAGGTGCCACCAAGTCTGGATAACTGCAACGACAATAGCACGCTAGCAACTGAATACGATGTGTGGCAGCAAGTACTAATAAGTGTACTTGCTATTGGTCTGAGTCTTGCAACAGTTATCGGTAATTCAATGGTTATGATTGCTATTAGAATTGATAAGCAACTCCAGACAATATCAAATAATTTTTTATTCAGTCTTGCTGTTGCTGATTTTGCCATTGGTCTTATATCAATGCCACTTTTTACTGTTTACACGGTATTTGGTTATTGGCCATTTGGTTCAATAGTATGTGATACGTGGCTGGCACTTGATTATCTCGCTAGTAATGCATCTGTACTTAATCTGTTGATCATAAGTTTCGATAGATTTTTTTCGGTAACGAGACCGTTGACGTACAGAGCCAAGAGGACACCCAAAAAAGCTGCCATCATGATCGGTGAGTGATATTTATTTATCGTTAATTATTGGTTTGTTTTGGGTTGAAGAGGTTGTAGAGGAATTGTTGAGATCAGCATTAAATCAGATACTAATGCATTTCATTGACCTGTTAATGTCGTAGATTTTAATTGTTTTGGGAATGAACTGAATTTTTTTTATCTCATTAAAAAAACTCGTCATGTCGACGACAGCATTAAAATCAGCGTCATTAAATCAGGTCTAGCATTAAAAAATCAGAGTCATGAAATTGTCTCGAAATTGCCTCACAACGGATAGGTTGCAAGTTCGATTCCTGGCCGGGTAGAATGACGTGAGATCTAACGAACTTTAAAAAGTCCTGATCAATCGCGACATAGTCTCATTAAACATTAAAAAAAAATTCGTGTAATAGATTTTGAAATAATATAATCTACATCAGACCCCAGCATTAAAATCATGCGCCAGCATAATGTATTCAAGTTCATAAAACATTTTGCCATCATGAAAACAAACGACATCGTCCTTGAAAATTGAATACCAACCCAAATCACCAGAACTGATCATTAAATCATGAATACAACGTCCAGCATAACTCATAATTTAATAGAAAGAAAGAATGAAGAAATCCCTCGGTATTTGTCGTCCCAAGTGTTCGAAAACAGAGGATAAGGCGATCACATAAAATTGTCAGAATATCCTACCCCCAGTCATTCCATAAATCTAATTTACCCCCCATGCAATCACTTTCACTCACCCCTCAATATCCCAGAAATATTCTTAATGTCCTTGTACGTCCTTAGCGTGCAGCATTAAATCAACAATTACCCACAGATTTCAAAACCCAACACACACATATCCAATAGTGTGGCAGTAGTGATAACATTGAATACCAGGAGCCGTTGTTCTCGCCTGTTGTTGGAGGCATAAAATGAAGTTTAAAAAAAGATATAAAAGAGTGTGTTGGTGAGGGCAAAGGGG